TGCTGTGTCCGTCTACATACCACAGCCAACTGCTTATCGTAGATAGAGATTTGGGAGCCAACCGGGGCTCGCTGCAGCGGAGGGATTATCCTCTTCCTCTAAAGAACTCTGCATATGCCGGCCAATCGGGGAAGAGAGTTTATACACGTTGATGCACTGTTCTTGTTAGCAAGCCGTTGTTCAAAAGTGTTTAGTATCACGTGTATTACCTTTAATCAATATGCTGACCGGGTGCATCCATCAAGCCACATCACAGACGGATCCGATGCAAGAGAGATTGAGAGCTGTTGGGCCAGTCTAGATCCTGTCCGTACCAACGGGCTCTAGGTCTTGTGGTAGATTTGTGGTGATACCAGAAGCCAGAAGCGCTGCCATCTGTCGCAATGAGACAGCTGGAGGGAAAATTCCCACAGTGACTGAAGTCAGGTTCGCTTCCTGTATCTGGTCGGCTCAGTTTCACCGGCTGACAGATGATGAACAAACATGACTCGGCAGTTCAAGGACACCTGTTTGCAAAGAACCAAAGCGCCTAACCTGGCCTTCACAGCTGCGACCAGCCTGCAGTGTATCCTCTGGATGCCTCTTTAGTCTAAGCTCCAAGTTGCCCCTCGATTCAACACTCACAACACTTGTTGCTAAGGAGCCTATCATGCCCTTCTAGAAGCCTTCCGCCAGGACAGCTGAAAAAAAATATTACGATTCACATCATAGTCGCTTCCCCATTCAATCATTTTGATTTGCATAACCACCAGGCCCCAATTGACGGTCACCCTCGGGATCAGCACCCCTTTCCTATCTTCAGGGAACACAAACATCGATCAGGGCACCTGGCAATCCATACGCAAGACATCCTGATTCTTTCTCTCTCTTCTCTCTCTCTCTCTCTCTCTTTCTCTCTCTCTCTCTCTCTCCATGGTCTCCTTCCTCTTTAAACCACATTCCGAAACGTCAGACATACGTCCGCAAAATCGCCAAATCACTCAGCCGGCCGAGAGAAATGCCACCAGTTTCTATTCCTGTTCACTCACTCGTTGTCTCGAAGCCGCGTCCGACCGAGCGAGCGAGTGGTCTTGGCGCCAACACCTTGAGCCAAACATCGCTCTTAGCGCCCGAGCCAGAAACTCTTAAGCGCCGAAAACCTCCTCCACGGCACTTATTGGTTTTTGACGAGGACATTTCTGATTGGTCCATTCGAGCAGGCAACACAAGAAAGAGGGAACCGAGGCTCTGGAAAAAAAAAAAAAAACAACCACAACCCACGAGCGGTATTCAACAATTGGATAGCTTTCTCGTGGGTTTCTATATATAGAAGGGATGACGTTGATACTATTTGTCTGCAGCGAGACGAAACGCCCCCCAGGGAATTGGTAGAGCCGTTGAGGCTCTCCCTCCTGTGCCTGGATAGTGATGTCATGTGGTGCAGATACCGACATCTTGTTTGGATTGGATCCAATCCAATGAACTCGCCAAGGTTCCCAACCCATACCCATACCCTCCTTGCCACCTGTATACCAACTTTTTAAAATCATCCCGGCCTAGAAGCTCGCTCACTTCTACCCCGGACGTGGCGCTTCCCGGGAAGGACGTGCAGAAACAGACAGACAGACGGACGGACGAACAAGCTGCAGGGGTAAATACCGGTAACACCTATGTGATACGGCTCAAGTGAGCTAGGAAGGTTATTTTGAAATTAGCCTACGGATCTGGAGCCTGAGTTAACAGCAAAGCAGCAGCAAGCCAGAGCAAGCAAGCAAGCATGCTGTACCGGGGGGATGGATGGAATGCTTATACAGGCGGCTATCGTTTACATTACCTCTAAAGATCGCATACTGACCAGTCATCGACACGCATATCTTTCCCTCTCGCGCCGACAACTCCCTTCCCCCTGAAGATCTCCATTTTGAAGCAAGGCCTTTTTTCAAAATCTCCCGTTTCAGATTGCCATCCATTACAGAAGTTTACCGCCGGCGAGAAGGTCACGGCGTTTACATGGCTACACCACACACACACACACACACACACACACACACACACACATACGTCATACCCTCCTTCCTTCCTAAGCCCAAGGTCTACCCACCCCAGCCCTACGGTAATGAGGGCGGCAGTGGGCGGCAGTGCAGCGGGAGGGCAAGATATCCGTCTGCAGCAGAAGGACTTGTGCTTGTCGTCTATGGAAAGTGTATGGCATTTCAGTCGATACATACCGCCCCCAAGTACCGGTACCAGTACAGGTACTTACTTGGTCTCTCTGGCCGCATATATCTGGCCGGAGAGAGGTCAGCCGGGGTAGGAGCTTGCGGCGCTGTACCTGCATGAAAGAGATTGGCATCCTCGCTTATACCCTAATTGGGGTTTCAGAATGGAATTGATGAGGGGAATCGCGAAGGGGAATATCTATATCATGATGATGGGTTTCTAGAATAATACTATCATGGGTATACCTTCTAGCCAGCTAGACTGGGGACAAACTAGGTAGAGATGATAGTGAAGAAGAAAGTATCTACAGCAGGCGATGATAGGGTTGAGGGTATTGCTTGCTGGCTCCATCCGTGATGATTACGCCGCAGTTCTCTCTCAAACTAAAACTCTTGCTTGCTTGCTCTGGGCCGAGGGATATTCATCAGGGACATGCCTAGGTACAGGTGCCAAAGTATTGCGGATGTGATCACTTTGCATAACGGCTGACGTCTAGGCGCCCAGGTCGGACTTACCGCTGGCAGCTCAGGCTCGAGATGAGTAAGAATTGCAAGCTGCATGCGGCGGTTAACTGATCGTCTACAATGGAGCGTACAGTATACTAAGCGCTTGGTGACGAAGAACATGATAAATGTCGAGAGAGATTCGGACGTTGAAAGGAGGAGGAGTAGCAATATCCCTTTTTGTATCAACTACTCGCGGGCGTCGAGGTATGATGGACGTTGGAGTCTTGAATTTTAAGGGGGCTAAGGTACTCCAGCTCGGCGATGAGTGATTTGGAAAGGGGGATACCGAAAAAAGCTGTAGAGAAGTTACCCCATAGACAAGCTAGCTCCTAGGTAGGTAGTTCTCATGGAGGGTTAAGCCATGGAATAGACAAACTCATGCTTAATGAGTGAGCTGGGAAAATCCGAATTTTGTCTTTCAACTTTAGTTAGCAATCTTGGTTACCTGCTGAAGGTGTGTTTGGGCAGTCCATAGCGTAAAGAACAAATGGACTGAACTACGGCTATTATCACCGATGACGACGTGTGTGGGGAGTTGGAGAACATGGATACAACAAGCCATGATGAACTGCTTTTTTTGGACTCTGAACAGAGATCTACATGCAAGATAACTGGGAACCTAACATAGATTATGCACAAAATTGAAGTTTGTTCGGTCACTCCTCTCAAAAACAAGAGGGATGAAGAGGAGGTCGATCAACTGGGCAGTAGCTCCTATGGGTAGGAATCACTGAATGACCTGATATTTTTTTTAGCCTGTATGCAAAAGTGAGTTGACGTTAAAGTAGGCAGGAGATCGCACAGAAGTTGGGCTAGGATAAGGCATTCAAAGACTCCCCCTATTAAGCTTAGAGTAATGTGTCCAAGTACATTTCTGGTAGCTATCAGCCCTTGATAGTTATGCTCAAAGGCTGTAGGCGATATGAGAAAATTTGTATCTACTCAGAAGAGCATGAGGGAGTGTTCATAGGTAGATCGACGGACGTTAGCTGACCACGAACTCCAAGGCAAAACATGCAACCTGATCATATCCTCTTGACCTACCGGTGATAACTTTCTCACACAGCTGTGTATGGGTGAGAAGACTAATGAAATGGGTTTACATGCTCAATCCTCCTCGTAAACGAACCAACCACCAACCATTCCGCATGGGCTTGCATAAAAAGATCCATGCGGATGAATCCTTTGGGCACCATACCAGGATGTTGAGGATGTTACCTAGATGGATGAATCAGATCCTTCGGGTGCTTCATAACTTTTTTTTGTCGATATATCCATCAGTCTCCCAAGGAAGTCAGATATAAGCATGATGGTAATATCTCAAGACATCCCCGCACCGTGCGCGCGGTAGCGGCCAGTTGGAATAAAAGAGAGTAGATGGACGGCTAGGGCAGGAGGCTACCGTGAGTATAGGCCGTGACTAGCTATGATATATCTAAAAAAAAAAAAAAAGAATGTCTACCTATGCACTCAAATATACTTACCATGTCGACACCATATTTCTGTGGATGTAGGTCAGTGGGGAAGTAACTTCTCACTTTTGAAAAAAGTAGACCCAATACACCCTATTGCACTGTTATGAGTGAGTCGGCAGAAGCTCGCATGCTATAGCTGATGTGAGTCAAGGGGGATGATCATGTTAAATCGGCCTTACAGGTTTATCTACGCCTAGAGGGCCAAGTTTGGGGGTACTTATGTTTCTCATCCCATAGCAAACTAGCTTAGCTTGCATGGCGGAACTGCATCAATGGTAATAGGATGATTTCATTCACATGAGACTTTCTAGTTCATAAGAAATTTGTCTGTACAATCATAAAGACCAGATAGAGGTGGAAGGATCGCAATTTGGGAGAGTTGTTGTTAAGCCTAGAGATTGACCACTCGATAAAGATGTGCCTGCCACTCTGACAAGATATAGAGATCCGGGACCATTAAAACCTGCATTGTCTGAGCGTGGTAACATGAGCTTCAGGTGCACAGCATAGGACTTAACAGCAGGGTGACATGTAGTAGTCATCATGATGTCTTTTCAACCCCCTGGATCAACCACCCAACCCAGCATGCCATTGATGATGTGAAGGCAGAAAGCATGGGAAACATTAGCGCACTACCAACTGACACACGACGTGGGAACCACCGAGCAACCTTGAATAAGCAGGATTCCTAAGCAATAAACCTAGGTGAGTAAGTAATCATAATTTACCCTCCCCAACGCCAACTTGTGTAACATATATCAAGTCATAACCCATACAATAATACAACCCAAACAAAAAAACCGTCTTCCTTCTGTCACTCTCACTTCTTAACCCTCTTAGCACTCTTATCACTCCCCGCACTAATCACACTTGCGCTCCTCTTATGCGCTGTGCCGTCTCCCCCCCCACCACCTCCTCCTGTACCTATACTCGTCCCTCCGCTACTACCAGGCTGGGGCTTCTCCTCTATCCCACTGGTAGCAGCAGAAGCAGAATCGGACCCAGGCTCCTGCTTAATCTCCTTCTCTTTCTCCTTCTGCTGCTGCTGCTGCTGCTGCTGCTGCTGTTGAGCTTCAGATCCAGCGGCAGGCTTCGATTCTTCGGAAGCGCTAGCACCAGCACCATTAGGCGCTTCACTGGATGGTGCCGATGCCGATCCAGCTGCCGATGTACTAGCCACCGTTTTGTCCTTCTCCTCCCCTTCTTTCTTCTCCCCTTCACCTTGGCCCTGCCCATCCTTCTTCTTCTCCCCCTGTCCCTCTTCTTTCTTCCCCCCATCCTCCCCGGTTTCCCCCCTCTCTAATGCCTTCTGCCTCTCCCTTTCTGCCTTCTTCGCCATCTCAACCTTAATCTCCGCATCCAACTTATCACTCACTTTTCGCAGATCTACCAAGGCCGTAACCGCCCCCCAAAGGATCTCAAACTGTGCCGTTACCGCCGCCGTCGGCATCACCAGCCTAGCAGGCACGTCCAGTTCTGCAAGGGCATTCGTAATCCGTAGTTGCTGCTGCCCGCTCTTGTGGCTGTACAATTTGTTGATCTTCTCGTAGCGGAAGGTTGGTCCCGATCCCAAGCGGTCGTGATACGACACACCGTAGATTTGTTCCTCTTGTGGAGAGAGCTTGCGGCGTTCGGGTTGCTGGGCGGTGCTCTTCTTTTTGTTGCTGGCGTTGGTGCCGGAGGCGGTGGCGGATGTGGGCGTGGGTTCGGCCGGCGTGGCGGGTGCGCCGCGCGTGGATTCCGACTCGCGCCGGGAGTGGGAGGATGTGGCTGCGATGCTCTCGCGGCGGTTGTGACCGCCTCCGCCTCCGCCGCCGGGACCGGAGGGGGCTGTTTCGGAGGTTGCGCTGGCAGGGACCACGCCACCGGGGCTCACGCCGTCACCCGGCATAATAGAGCGGCGTTTCTTGGCCTTGTCGGAGGACATGAGGTTCTGTAGCAAGGCCTGCAGGCCGGCGGAGCTTTTGAAGGAGTTGATGTCGGCGTCGGTGGAGGGGTAATCGAGGCGGTGGTAGAGCTCGCGGCGTTCCTCGTTGAAGCGCTCCGTGCGGGCAAGGATGCGCTTGATTTCGAGGAGGAGGGATTCCTCTTCGCGAGCCTCGTCCCGCGAGCGGGACATGGTATTGAGGGCGAACTCCTTGCGGCGGCGTTCTTGCTCGGGATTGAAGTTCTGCATCATCTCGTAGAGCTCGAACTCCGGCGCAGTCATGTACTGCGCCGGCTTGTGGACGGCCATCATTTTCGCGGCGACCTCATAATAGCGGGCTTTGAGTTCCTCCATGGTTCGTTGTCTCGGTGCGGGCACGACGGCTGTGCTCGTCTCACCGTTGGTTTCCCCCTCCTGCTCCTGCTTCAACGCCTTGGGTACAAACTCGTACCTATCCCAGATGATCGTCCATCGTAAGTCGAACTCCCGCGCCAGCTCCATCAAGTAATCTGTCTCCTCCTTCGTCCAGTCCGCATGCTGCAAATGCGACTGGTAATGCTCGTCCGTATACGACGGCACCTGCACCTTGACATTGAACTTCGCAAACGCCGAGTCCTCCGGCTTCTCATCCTCATTCGTACCCGTCCCTCCGGCAGCTGCAACGCCCTCCCCAGCCAGCGATTCGGACTCGGGAGTATGATCGGGCGGCGGGGCTCCGTCCAGAGGCGTCTTTCTTCGCCAATGGCGTAGGACCAGGGCGCCGCCGTCGTTACGAGCCGAGTTGGTGAATGGCTTGAGCACCCATCGCGCGGCGGGCTTACGGCTGGCGAAGCGGCGCTTCTTGAAGGAGATTTCGGGGACGATGGCGATGGGGGTGTCGCCGCCCAGGTTCTGTACCTCACGGGCCAGACCCTTCAAGTTCGGCCGCGGGGCCGTAGGCTTCTGTTTGCGTGACGGGCGCGGTACTGAGGCGTCGGACGGGAGGTTTAGCACATCACGGACGTCGTTGGAGGTCATTGTGTGGACAGGTTTGGTTGGAAAGGTTAATCTGTTGTCGAGGGCGCGCTGGGGATGTTGGGGGGCCCGGCTGGAATTCGGTCGCACAGAGTTGAAGTGGGCGGGCGCAGAGCACTCTTACGAGGCTGTAAAAAAAATTCCTGGAAAAATTAGGAAAATTCCGAATTTATTGTCAGATCATGTGCATCGCGAGACGAATTAATTCTGCCCAGTTTTGAGTCAATGCGAGTATTCACGGGGCGCTGGCAGTCGTCAAGGTTCGCGGGCTTCGACGTCGTCCATGGTTTGACGTTGTCAGACCCAAAATGCACTGGAGCATTGGCTGCTGCTGCAGCTGTCGTTTTTTCTTCGTCCCGTTCACTGCCGCCGCGCGCGCTGGACGTGCCCGCCAAGCATTAGAAATACGTAAATGCGGGACCCTTTATCACGTGACTAACATCTTGGCGCCAAGACCATTCAGGTCGACGAACCCCCTGGACCCAGTTTTCCCGAACGTGGCAGCTTCGACTTTAAGCTCTTGGCCAGGGTAGATGCGCTCCGCCTCGATCGAAACGGCGACGACGACAGCAACGACAACCTCGATTTGAGTCGCACGAATCAATTCAGGCCTCATAGAGCCCCTCTGATCGGTCCAGATAAACAGAACCCAAAGCAAAATGCGCACGCTCTTCTCCCTGCTGTCACTCGCCGCGGCGGCCCGCGCGCTCTACTTCTACATCGACGTTACCCAGCCCAAGTGCTTTTACGAGGAGCTGCCCAAAGACACGCTGGTCGTGGGCCACTACGTTGCCGAGGAATACGACGACCACCGTCAGGTCTGGGCCAAGCATGACGGCATCAGCATCTACATTTCTGTCGACGTACGCCTGCTCTCCCCATCTCCCCGCTACCCCAAGGGCCCAATGGCGTTGAACCGAAGTGTAGGCCACTAACACCACATCCAGGAGGTCTTCGACAACGACCACCGCGTCGTCTCCCAACGCGGCGGCCCCTCGGGCAAGTTCACCTTCACTTCAGCCGAGGCAGGCGACCACAAGATATGCTTCACCCCTTCGTCATCCAGCGGCCGCAGCAACTGGCTGTCGGTATCGGCGCCAAACGGCGGCATCCGTCTGACGCTGGACATTGCAATTGGCGAGACGAGCGCCATGGACGGCGCCGACAAGGGCAAAATTGCGGACTTGGCGACGCGCGTAAAGGATCTAAATGCGAGGTTGAATGATATTCGAAGGGAGCAGGTCTTCCAGCGGGTGAGTCCTCTCAAGTTCACATTTGGTCCATGTAGGCATCGTGGGAAGGGTACAATAAAGTGCTGACGAAACTCAGGAACGCGAAGCCGAGTTCCGCGACCAGTCCGAGTCGACCAACGCGCGTGTTGTGCGCTGGATCCTGATCCAGCTGACCGTGCTCGGCGTCACCTGTGCCTGGCAGCTGTCGCATTTGCGGTCCTTCTTCATCAAGCAGAAGCTTACCTAAACTCTCCTTCCACTTCATGAACCTCTCTCTCTCTCTCTCTCTCTCTCTCTATATATATATATTATGTTTGAGTTTTCGGCTGTCATTATGCTGCTATGCGATTCAAATGTCAAGGTCATGGTCATTGCCGCAAAAGACAAAGAACCGTGTTTCCTGATGTACAAGGGCTTGCTGTATATGTCTGGCTGGCTGGCTGGCTGGCTAGATCCATGCTGTGACGCCAGTGCACACACAATGGGGGAGGAATGCGCCCCTAAAGATGATATGTTGGTCTTGGCTTTTCGGGTCTCAGGGCAAGGGAGTCTATAAAACGGATATGTCTGTGGTCTAGATGAAAAGCTCAATGTGGTTATGGTTCTGCGATACACCCTTCTAATGATACACTTCCCCAAGGTTGAGTATGTGCCAATATGGTATCTTATGCTCCCTGTGAACTGGGACCTGTGTAGCTGTAACAGGAAGGTGGGATAGGTAGGTTAGTAGTGTGCAGATTGCTTGTTCTTCAGGCTCTCATATTTGTTTCAATTACTTCATCCCCAGAGAAAGCCTGATGATCGAGGTAGAATAAGACACCCTTAACTTATGTCCCACCTTGATGTATACGCACATAGTCCTTTGTGAACTTAAAGCTTGTCTGGAAAGCTGTTTTTCTGCAAAGATCATAAGACACCCAAAGCAATGCTGGGGGAGGAGAAAAGGAGTAACCAACTTATACAACTCTCTTGGCGACAGCAAGACCCCTTTTTCCCAAGCATCATTCCATTACAACAAACACTATTTCCAGCCTTACATTCCTCCACCTCTACAGCTAACCTCACTTTACCCAGCCATGAAATGTCCTAATCTACCCTTCTAATCACTCACTGCCTCAAGTAAGCTCTCACGAGGGAGCATCACAAACAGCATAACGGTCAATTCTCGCAAGATGCACAAAGAATTATTAATTCTGTACTTGTTCTCTACAACAAAAGCACCCTCAAGCAACAATCCTAACAGCAGCAGCAACTACTAGTATGAGCAGGGACTCCAATCAGCCACACAACTCAACATACAGAATCACAAATACAAAACCATAAACACCAACAACAGCAACACCATCAGCAACAACCACAACAGCGACCAAAAACACAAACTACCTAACCAACCAACTGAAGAACACAGACAACACAACCAGCTAACACCTTTTTCTCAACCCCAACACCTTCACTCCTCTCTTTATCTTTCCCCCTTGCCCAACCCCATATATTTCCCCCCCTCTCTACCTCCTATTTTCTAGCCCAGCCACCTGGCTCATTCATCCTTCCTATATGTTGCCCATACCGCTTCACTCCCTCGTTCTCCAATTCGACGTCACCATCCCACCCGCAGAGCCCACCGCTAACAACGACGACAGACAGTCCACAAACCGGACCACAATCTCCATAACCCCAAGATAGATGGAGAGCGGCACACCGCGACTCTTGACGACAGACCACCAGACCAGACCAAGGACTTATACTGCAGTAGAGACCAAGTGTTGCACAACCACGATACAACACGACCGCAACTACAGCACGACACAATAACAACCAATGCAAGCGAACGTGATAAGAAGGTATCCCTCTTCTATGACCCATGCAAACCTCTCCCTTTTCAGTTCACATCCAGAACCCCACGAACAAAGAATGCCAAGAGAAAAACAATAAACAACGAAACACAAAATGACTAATACTAAATACTTATTTAGCGTACGTACGAGGAGAGACTATGCTTGAAAGGAGAAAAGACGAGACGACAAGCCAAAACACAAAACCAAGACAATCAGCACAGACAAAAAACACCAAACATTAAGGGAAAAAACATCACCCATCTTCCCATCACCCAATCCAAACCAATCAGCCATCCATCCATCCATCCATATCATTCCATCCGTCGGCCCACAATAGTCGAGACATGAAAGCTAGCTCATGACCCGTTCCCGTGCTGTCCCGTGATCGATCCAATGACATGCATGCCCCCTGGGTCCCTCTATATAAGAACTGTACCGTGTGATGAATGGCCACCCACTTCCAGTCCAGTACCCAGTTGCTGCTCTAGCCATAGCCGCTGCCGCCGTCGCCACCGCTGACAGCCATGGCCAGTGTTAACGTCAACTGCCACTCTTGCTCAGTACGTAGTCCCAGGATGAAATCATGACGGACGTGAGGGTAGAGGATGTAAATGTATTAAATTAGAGAACACGCCCAACAAGAACAAAACAACCTCCCGTCAACCAGGCGGAGGTCGCTTCCTTTTTCAATGTATGTCCCAAACTAGTCTCCTTCTAAAAACCAACCGATCCTAACATCGCAAGGTCCAGGTCTGGGTTCATCGTAGTAGGGTGTCGTCCGGTCGTGGCTTCTTATCGGCGTAGCGAGGAGGTAGCAGCAGCAGAAAGAAAGGCAGAAATCGAGTTTGCTTTAATAGTAGTAGTTGTTGCTGTTGTTGCAAAAGCGATATGATATGATGTTGTGATGCAGACACGCTTTACTCTCTCTCCCTCTCTCTTATGTTCTCCCTCTCTCAAAAGAAAGTTGATTGATGATGACGCCCGATCCAGTGTGCAGAACGAGAAGACAGATATGGACGGATGGGGGGAAAAAAACCAACAGGGGGAAACAAGACATGCAAAACCCAGTACAAGACACAAAAAAAAACCACAAATTAATCCCTTTCATCCCGTTCTGTCATAGCAGCATCTAACCACAGCAGAGCGTCTTCATGAACTTCTGAAACCCAGTTGGCTGTGGCTGCTGGGCGGCGTTGTTGTTATTCTGGGGCTGGGTCTGGGTTTGGGGGGTATTGGCCACCGGAGTATGGGTCATAGGCCGCTGCTGTTGAAGATTCTGGGTGCTGGTCTGATACTGGGCAACCGCCGAGCTGTTGGGGGTCTGAGCCTGCATGCCCATGTAGCCGCCCGGGGCCGCGGGCGAGCGCGGGTTGGCCAGTCCGGAGCCGTTTGGCCGCCCGGGACTCTGCGGCGGCGACTGTAGTGCCTGGCGCGGCAGCGGGGGTTGGCTCGCGTTTAAACGAGCCGCTGTCAAGCCCGGGGCTTGCGGGTCGCTTTGGTGGCGCGTTGTGTTCCCCCGTGAATTGCCATGGATCTCCATGGCCGAAGCCCCGGGCCGGGAGTTTGGGTCGTGCAACTGTTGCTTGTTCCAGTCCCCCTTCCGGTCCGGCTTCTTCATCCAGTCGTACTCGCCATCCTCGACGATGCCCTCATCCTTGGCCGCCTGAGTGAAGAGGTCGCGCAGGTAGTCGTAGTCAGGGGTGTCCTCAAAGCCGAGGTTGCGGACGTAGGTCAGGTACTCGGCGAACTGCGGCGGGAAGCCCCTGCAGAGCTCCTCGATCGGGGTGGTCTGCTTCTTCTCGCCAATCTTCTCGTACTTCTGCTTGTTCGTAGCAGCCTTGAGACCTTGCCAGGGCAAACCTCCGCGCAAGAAGTACATGAAGACGTGGCCGAGGGCCTCGAGATCGTCACGGCGAGACTGCTCCCTGCCGAGGTGGGTGTTGATACTCATATAGCGGGCCGTGCCCGACAGAGACTTGCGCTCGCGGTAGGGGATGTGCTGCTTGGTCTTGGGGTCGCGGTACTGCTTCGCCATGCCGAAGTCGACGACGTGGATGACATTAGCGGCCTTGGTGCCGGGACGGCCAATCAGGAAGTTGTCGGGCTTGATATCGCGGTAGATGAGGTTCTTTTCGTGGATTGTTTGCACGCGGGAGAGCTGGGATGCGTTAGATCCTGAAAAGAGCAGGAGAGGAAGAGAGGAAACACACCATTTGCTTGGCAACCATGACGACGGTCTTCAAGCTGAAGCGGCGGCCACAATGGTCAAAGAGGTCCTCGAGCGAGGGGCCGAGGAGGTCGATGACCAGGATGTTGTGCAGGCCTTCCTGGCCGAAGTAGTACACGTTCGGAATGCCGGCTGCAGGAGTTAGTTAGAAGGGGTTATTCCCAACACTTCGAGAAGAAGACACTTACGGCATCCGACCAGAATTTTGTATGTCCGGTACTCATCGCGAAGCTGGGGGGCATCGCTCTTCCTTGGCTCCTACGCAGGGTCAGCATGTCGCCTCTTAACCAAGGGCAAGCAGCGCAGCACGCACAAACTTGATGGCGACCTGCTGATTGTTGAGCAGGTTGGTACCCTCGAAGATGACACCGAAGGAACCCTGCCGATCTTCTTGCCCACTCTGTAGTGGACGCCGACAACGTTGGAGGATGAAGAAGCCATAGTGGACGTGTTCGCAGCCGACATCTACGTCGCGTTACGTGACGAAACTAGGGCTCACGATGTCTGTACACGGTTTGTCAGCACATGCGGACCGGATGGTGATGCGAAAGGATACACAAATAAACCAGCAGGTCGGCAGCCGGGGGGTCAGTCGCGTTGCACAGGGCTAGGAATGCGGATATTGGTGTAGCGAAGCCACCGGACGGAGAAAGGCGGAGTGAGACGGTGAGGTGCAGCCGGTCGCAGGGAGTTTGAGAGTCCGGGGATGCAAGCAATCGACGTGATGAAGCAGCAGAATACTCACCCAAAGGAAGGAAATCGTATGCAAGCAATTAAAATCTGGGGAATGGGAATGTTATTGTGGTTGTTGATTGTTGGTGAGGCGGTATGATGTGATCTCAGCTGTCGCGAGGCTATGGCCTGCTGGGCATTCGACGGTTGCCGGGGGACAGTCGGTGACGAGCTACAACAAAAAAAAAATCGTCTAGAATACGTCAACCCGTGCTGGGTGAAGGTGATAGAAGAGAATGCTGCTAATCGCGAGATGGTCGGGTGGTTCGCTGATTTCAGGGCAGCCGTAGGTTGCGGGCGGGAAACCAAGTGGAAGTGCTGGTCAGTCCTGTCCTCTCTCTCACTCTTCAGTCCAGTGACTCCAGTCCACAGGTCCTCCCCCAAACACAACGATCGCACGGTAAGACTGGTCGTCCAGTCAATCAATGGGAGGGGTGGGAAAAAAGCACTGAATCGACAGACGCGCGGGGTTCGTAGGGGCAAAGATGTGTCGCCCTGTCACGACTTGGTCGTTTTACGGCCTTCTGCCCAAAAGGCACGGTGATGTGGTGGTTTTGGAGGGGGGGGGGGGGCGCAGAGCGTGGCGGGTTACGGGGGGCAGGATGGATGGAGAGAGGAAAAAGACGAGGAAGAGGACTGGATTGAGTGGAAGGGCGGCAAGCAGCAGAAGACAGAAGGGGAAGGCCAACCAGGCCAGCAATCGGACAGGGCAGGGCAGGACGGCCAGCGGTCCAGCCAGCGGCAGCGCAGCGAGCGGATGGGGGCCATGGGGGCCCTGGGGGCCAGGCCAGTAGTTCTCCAGCCAGTCCTCATCGAGAAAACAGGGGGGTGCGGATCCGCAAAAGGGCAACCAATCCAGTGAGGGTAGGAAGCCAGTGGCTCGCAGCTTCTGCGGTGCAGGGTGTAGGGTATAGGACCAGGAGGTGGTCCCTGCGCCGGGCAACCTGTGAGGAGACGGCACCTGAGCACCCACCTCGCCAGACCCTTCTTGGCCTGTTGCCCATGGCTCACCACCTGCTATCGAGTGCCAGCCAGATGCCAGCTCGTGGTGTTCAATGATGATGTGGGCGTCCCCAAGACAATAGCACAAGACCAAACCACAAAGCAGGCCAATGGTTGCAGCAACAAGCAAATCCAGTCGGTAGAAGGAACCTGAATCTGGGGCACGGCCGAGCACGGCGAGATGCGATGGGGAACCTGGGAAACGAAGCGCAGATCCGTGACCACAATCAACAGAAGACCCCGGGTCTGGCAGCGAACACCTGGATGCATCATGGGTGCATACATTGCATTGTTTTCACATCATTGCAGCCTGCCCGCTGCCTGTAGCCCGCTGAGTATGTACCCGCTGGCTGTCCAGTCGCCCGCACGCGGAACGGTTGACAATTCGATTCAGGTCACGAATCTGACTTGGATTCGATCATCCCACCTGGCCAGAGCATTTCATTGGCCTGCGCGTGTCGAAGTGTAAAGCTTGGAAGCATCGCAGTGCCTGCGTCTGCGCTGCACCGCACCGCACTGCGTCTTCACCGATCACGGCGATACTTCATGATTAAAACCAAAAAAAGGCGATTTAGCAGCCGTCGAAACGTTGCTCAATGCCCAGCTTTCTGCTTTCTGTGTGGCCGTTTGTTTTTTTCTCCTCTCCCGCCCCGGATGCAACCGTGCAATCTGGATTTCTGGATCATCAGCGATCGAAATTCGCTGACCGCTTCGTCCATGTCCAAGACCAACCGTCCATCATCCACTGCTCCATTCTACTCCGTCTCCCCGAAAAACCCGAGGCCGTTCGACGACGAAAACTCTCACTTTGTGGTCTTTTTGTTTTCTCTTCGCATCCTAGCTTTCAGAACATCAAAGTCGCAAATTTCAAGCTCCCTTCCCAAAATCACAAGAATCGTCTGTCATGTGGGGCCGAACGCGTCCTCGCAAGTTCCCAGCCTCCAATCCAATCCCCACAGGCCCAGTCGTCGCGGCCAGGGATAAGACGGGGTCCATGTGGACGCGGTGAGTGAGGCTCTCGGGCGTCCGTAGACAGTGAACAGTGGACACAGACGAGCGGTCTGCAGCAAAGAAACCTTTTGTTGGTCCGTTGCGAAGCCCGTTTTGGGCAGTGATGTCACATGTTCTACACAGTATGCACATGTGTATGGACACCTTCTGAACCAGTTACATACTATGGATTTACTTTGCTGTACAACTGCTCAATAGTTCCGGGCGTACAGATCACAAGAAGAAGCTTCAAAAGAAGCTCTTCATTCAATCTCGCTCCGAGCTTTGCTCGGTAGGCTGGGAAAAGGTTAGCGTGCTGTACGATAGAGATTCCGTTCGGGATGGCATCGCCGTCGCCGTGGCATCGCATCACTGCTGTGGAGCTATTTTTTTTTCTTTCTTTCTTCCTTTTCCGTCCCATCTTCCTCCCTTGGCCCTTGCCCCCTGGCCGCCGCCGAGGCTGGGGCTGGAGACGGGAAGGCGGGCAATGCGTGATCTCTTGCTGGCTTGGCGACTTGGCTACGCAAGCGTTTTTGTATTATTCCGCCCACTGGGCCAGCCCGGTCCTTTTTCACCACCACCAAACGGATGAACGCAGCGCAACGCTCCCACAGCCGCTGCACTGCAAGGCACAGCTTTTGATTTGACTGGCCAATTTTGTTGTCTGCAATTGTTTTCCTCTTCTGCTTTTGTCGCTGCAGACAGGCGGCTGAATGGCCCAGTCCAGTCCAGCCTGCAATGCAGCGAACGATTTTTGTTCAAATGCAGCCAGACGAGACGTAGGCGAGAGCCAACAAACCATTGAACAATTTTTTTTAATCCTGATGTTCTGCCATCCTTGGCGCACGTTCGGCGAGCTTTCCCCTGCCGGGCCAAGCCAAGAATGAAGCTGCGGGTTAGCATCGCGCCGTTCGACTGCGGCTTCATCCTCGGGACTTCCGACGGTGACGGGAGGTTCCGATTGTTTGATGGATTGGAGCCATGCTTTTTTTGGATGGCTTTTTCGAAACTGTTGGGTGCCGGCCGAAGGAAAGGTTTGGATGAGAAGGTGCCCATTGTTCGATGAGAATGGTTTCGTCCCGTTTCCTTGAGAATTTTTTTCTATGGCGGCGAACCAAACTCTACATTTCACAACAGCTTCCTTTTCTTGCTACCTACAAGGTCCCTCTGCGTAGGTCCCTCTGCGTAGACCGATTGCCGTATAATAGTAGCCACAATCCCTGTTGCTCAGTGCAGACGGTGCAGACAACACGCAGAGACAAGCAACGCAGCCAAGTGGCTCATCCAACCAAGCAACCAGCCCACAAGCTCAGGCTGTATTTTGTAGCAAGCAGCTACCTCCAGACCGGAAGACTTCCGGGAAGATGCTCCGTTGGTGATCACCGTGGCATGTGGAAAATCTTCAATCGCTTGACGGCTGTCCGGTCGTCGGGCGAAAGTTGGATGGACTTAGCGGATCTCTGCCGCTTTAAGGACCAGACCTGCATATATCACATGAGTGGCATGTAAGTGACGTTGTACAATGGCGTAGGACTATGTGTGCAAAGGATATCGCTTTGCGGTAAGTCCTACATTATGCGGAGTTGTCTTCACAAATAGCAAAACCCTTAATCAACTCATTGCCATAGTCATAGTCAGATCGTATGCATCTTTCGTCCTCGGTAAGTAGGTTAAAAGTCCAGATTCACCATTACAATCCATCACGTAGCCCAACGTAGCCCGACATAGCCCGACAACCCCTTCCTCTGAAACAGACACTACCACCTTAAGCCCGTCTCTCCCAAACCTGACTCTTTTGCCTTCCGGGCTGTGTGCTACCTATAACACATGACATAATTCCCCCCCCCCTTTTTTTTTTTTTAAAAAACCTCCAATCCAGCGCTATATCAACCATCCGGGGGCAGTTCGCCTCAGGCTAAGAACTTAGGTTGCCCCTGTTTCATTTTGATCAGTCATCACGCATCACAAATCATCATCATACCCACGAGCAAAGCAAGGGAGAGTACGCTGTCGTTGCCACAATGGCTGGTGTTATGTGAGATGTCTTCTGTCGCCTGCGAGGCTCGGTGTAGAAACGAGGCTAAACTCTCGACTTTACCGAAATCGAGTCTACTCGCCGTAATCAGTGAACTGGGGAGAAAACATCCCACTTCGGTCCATGAACAGAAAGGACGTAAGTGTAAGTTTGGCAGATAGATATTCTCAACACCTGTCACAAGCTAAGCATGCAAGCACGCACATGGCGCTTAAATCGCCTCACGTTGTACCTTGTGTAACACACCTTCTCACCCACACCTCGGGGATGCCGTCCAAAGTGTGTGTATGCTGCAAAAGGGAGTCGTGTAAGAATATCGGGACGACATGTGGCAAGTTACAGGGAAATTCCAAATGAAACTTATGCAGAGCTTATGACAGATGAAATATGACTTTCGAGACTGTGCTGGGGAGTTGAAGAATAAGCGATTCGAGCCTCGATACGAAATGGAGGGACAGAGTTTTAGCAAGCACACACACACACACACACACACAATAATAATAATATAATAATAATAACAAGCCGGACAAGATATTTCAAGACAAAAACTCAATACCAAATTCAATGCAGTATGTGGAGGCTGAGGTGAATGTTCATTATCTGAAAAGGATGTATCAGCATAAACATACAGACTTAGTGACAGCTTCCCCGAGAACATATGAATGTTACCATTTTCTTAACTTGACAACAAAGCCTCCGAGATGCAAATCAGACTCTTGCAGTTTTTTGAGGGATTCTCACATGATAGGCTCTTCTAAGAGTCCAAACTTAATCTTCAGATGGGATTCGTTTATTGCGTTGTAACCCCATCACCTCCTGTTAACAAGGCAAAAGCAGAGCCACACACTGGAGCTCTTTCTATTAGTATACCTAAACTGTAAAATAAACCTTATGCAGACTCGAGAACAGAGCTAATGAAGGTTGCATGCGTAGAGTAGAGGCTGGTACTTGCCTGTATCGTATAATCTTGTTCTACGTTCCTCGTAATCGCCGTCTGATATCTTTTATCAGGTAATTAATACACTCGTCTCTAAACTCTGATGGCCGTCGAGATTGAGAATTCTTCAAATGAACTTCCTGGTTCATCAAGCTTTTATCATTGTAGGGATTTACTTTAGCTCCGAATGCACCTATTGTCCCAAGTTTGAAAGAAACACAGTAGAAACATAAGAAAAAAAAACCCCATGCAAAAACAGGGTAACCAAGAACTGAGGGTACCTACCTGGCCCGGGCCAGCTTCATGTTCTATATGTAGGTATAGTATAGTAGCAGGAGAACGCAACACAGACCACGCTGTCTGATTTGTGATCTTTAATATCCACACGAGAAGAGGCCATCCCCAAATCATACTATTCATGTACTTCACCCCAGAGCAGCAGAAAGCAAGCCTACCGGTTCCCGCAGCGCCTATTTTATTGCATCGGCATCCCCCTCCAATCGCTAGATCCAATCGCTAGACAGATTCCCCCGGACTTCATGCTCATGCCGTAGTTCTTTTTTTTTTTTTTCAGCTCCTGTCATCGCTTGCTCGCCTCAACCGTATAACGAGCAAACCCAGTTACCCAACCCTAGAGATTATGGGTACAGTCAAGAGGTGAGGGGATTCTCAAGCTCACCCACCCGCTCTAATCCTCACTCTGATGCATATGTGATGGTATCACGATGCGGGGAGAGACAATCTTGCCTGAGATGTCACTTATACTCCAGCAGGATCGTAACGATTGCCGACTTGACTTGACTGACGCATAGGTACCCTACTTGACGCGCTTCTTTTTTCGTGGGCTCTTGTGTGTCAACTTTACATAGGTAGGTAGTCAAGGACAACACAGCTGGGTGGTCGTCCGGATAATGCATGGATGACATAGACGCGGCACAGAACCAACCCTGATCTGTGAGAGAGGACATTTTCAGAGTATATTCATACTATATAATCGCCCTAGGAGAAAGAGCAATCCCTTTCCCACAAAAACCAATTACTAAACCCTCTGATCCCCAGACTATATGCTATAATCTTGTCTCACTAGGTAGCTTCTCTTGCCTGCCATCGCGTCTCTTCCAGCCTCACGCACAAGCAGAAAAGACGTCGAAGCCAAGAACAAATCCGGTCACCAACTTCTAGGGAGGACGAAATATGTTAAGAAGAAAAGCAACGAAAACCAGCCAACAATCCTTAGGTATTTACTTGCAGTTTTAACTTTGTTTCTCTCCTTCCTCATTCCATTTACCTGGATGCCATAATTTGTTTTGTTTTGTTTTGTTTTTGTGTTTCCCGTATGGTAGCAGTAGGTAGAAGTCACCACTACCCATTAATCATCCTTCTATTCCCCCTCCCAACCATACCCTTACTTAAGTAGGAAGAAGAAGAGAGAAAAAGAAAAGCACAAGCGAATGCCATACACAACCCAACAGAACATGAACAGTACACAAAATCCCCCCGCCCCCTTCATCTCAACCCTCAGTACATCTTTACCCTCCCATTCAAGCTCAACCCATTAACACCTCCATTCCCTACACTCCCACTGTTGACCCTCCTATGCCCTTTCTGCGCCGCAACCCCCACCATCCTCTCCGCCGTCTCCCTCGTCGCACGCCACCACTCATCCAATTGCGCCTTCTCCACAAAACCCCTCAAGAGCCTATCCTCCGCCCGCATGGCTTCCACCAGCTTACCCCTAAACGAGTCATCCATCGCCGCGAAACGGGAATCAAGTTGTTCGGGCTCGGTGTAGACGCCAAGACAGTCCGACGGTTTGAGGGTATGGTGAGGGCGGAACGTGGGGGTTGATGATTCTGTTCACGACGTTAGGACCTGTGTAGGGTAAAGTAAAAGGGAGAGGAGAGAGATTGTTGTTGTTGTTGTTGTTGTTGTTGTTTGGGGGTGGGGGAACGGGGGAGTAGGGGGAAAAAGTTGGTTCTTACCTTCGTCGAAACACGCAAAGAGAGTCCGGTAGGCAGCAGTTTCGCCGACAGCCTCGAGAGCTTCCTCATCGCCCTTCAAATTCGTCTCATTCACTTGTCGCCAATCATCACGTACCAAACACCGCCTCCAAATCAGCCTCCTCACCTCCTCCGCATTCTCCAACGCCGCATAATGCGCGACCTTCAACGCGAGGAAAAACTGATCTCCCATGCCCTCATAATGCCCCGGACCGAGTGAAGAGAGAGTCAACAGGTCGATGAGCGTCAGCGGGTCGAGGACTTCGTGCTTCAGCAGACGGGCTATTCCATCCTCAAAGATTTGCAGGAGTGCTTTTTGCCGACGGGGGATGAGACCGCCGAATTGTTTAACGGCGAGCTCGACTTCGGCAGAGGAATCCACTGCCTCGTGGACCGACGCCAAGATCCACTGGTACAGCAGATCCTGCACCTTGACAACCTCAAGCTCGGCATCAATCTTCTTGATTGTCCCCCCAACCTCCCCCTTGCCAGCCTCGTCATCGCTCCCCCCCCCTTCGGCCAAAAGCGCCAACTTCCCCAAGCTCAACTCAACCTTCTTATTCCAAACCTGCACTTCCCTGCTCATCCCCAACCCCAACAACGTCTCGGCCGCGCCCCCCACGTCGCCCTCCCTCAGCACCTCATTCACCCAGCTAATCCTCGCCAACTCGGGCTTCCCCCTTAACCACTTCGTGATAAACCCTTTCCTATCAAAGGCAAATTCCAGCACGGCCTGCACCCCGGCAGCATCCAGGAGGACCTCGTACGCCCGGCTGGCAAACCCCTCGCCGAACTCCTCCATCAACCGTCCTAGCCGCTGCTTCTTCACCTGCGCGAGCGCCGCGTTCTCCTGGGCTTTGGACTCCGTCGTGGTAGGATCTGCGGCGGCAGCCTCGAGCATGAGGATCTGCCCTACAACAACATCCGCAAGCGCATCAAACGCTTCAAACTCCCTCGCCAGCTCCACCGCCTCCTCCCAGAGATCAAACTCCTTGAGCTTGACGATCTTCTTGTACACATCCTCGGCATACGCGGCCTGATACGCGCGACAGCGGTCTTGCGTCTCAGGATCGGTGCTGGAGGCAGCCCAGGTGATGTATTCGGACAAAGAAGTAAAGTACTGGCTCGTCAGGGACGGCAGGCGCTCGCGGACGGTGTCGAGCAAGCGGGCGTCAAATCTTGGATCCGCGCTCGGCTGCGCGTCGTGCTTGGCCAGCCACTGATGACAGAACTCGGTGAGGCGCTTCAGGTTATTGGTGATGAAATACGTCGAGGTCCATGGTTCAGGTAGACCATTGCCGGTGGGGACGACGGCAGGGTCGACGCCGTACTGGGCAGCCTTGTCGAGACGGAACTGGCGGGCTTCGAGCAGCGCGCCGTTGTTGATGGTCACAGCCTCCCAGACGAGGCGGTTAAGGCCGGGCTCGTCCGAGAGTTTTTGTGTGTAGTGGTACTTGATGATCTGGTAGGCCCAGGCGACGAAGATGTCGAGGCGGAAGATGTCGTGGATGAACCAGTGACGGACGGGGTCGACCTGGCCGGCGGCGACGTTGAGCTCGGTCTTTTGATTCTCGTTAATGAAGACGGCCGCCTCGGAGATGAGCGTCTTCTTGTCGGCGCGCGGACGCTCCGCTAAAAACTGTTCGTGCTTCTGCCAGATCCAGGTCGCAACCGCCATCTTCTCGGCGTCGTAGAGCAGCATCCAGCGGGTGCGCTCGTCCATGTTGACCTTGCACGCGTTCAAGAACGTGATGAGCGCATCCAGATAGGCACTGCGGCTCTTCATATTACCCTCCAACGAAGCCGGCACGCTCGGGATAAACGGCGTCTTGGAGTTAACGATTTCATGGCTCAGCTCAACCGCGGCATCGCAAACCTCCCGGTCCGAGAAAGGCAGCGCCCTCCTGCCTTGGAAGACCAACGGATTGTCGCTCTTGATACCAAAGAACACGGCCTGCTCGAGCTTGCTCTTTGCCGTGACACGCGGCGGGGCGTCGCTGGCAAAGCGTTCGATGTCCGTGATGGCGACGCGGACGATGCCGACGCCGGGCAGCAAGAGCACGGCCGTCGGGTTCTTGGTCTTGTGGCGGTGGGGGCGCACGTCCTCGGAGCTCGTGCCAGCGCCTGGCTCTTCGGAGCCGGAACCGACCACCTGGAGGGTATCGTCGTCGCGGAAGTCGACCACGTCTTCGAACGTGGGCGGCAGGATATGGCTGTCCTCCTGGAGCTGCGAGTCCGGCGAGTCAGGGGGCGCGACCATCGAGGCGACCACGACCGCGCGGTCGAACACGACAAACGCCACCAGAGCCGGACGGGGAAGGTACAGTCTCGGCTTCTCAAGCGCCCCGGGCCGCACAGGGCTGGTGTACGAAGTAATCGGCCTGACAGTCCCGATCCTGGCGCCCTCCGGGGCGAGGACCGTCTCAACCAGCGAGTACCGCGCCTGATGACCACGCGAGAAGCCCACTAGCAACAGCATATGCTGCAGCGAATCCTCCTCATGCGTCAGCGCCTCGCTCAGACGGCTGGCATTCACATACTTCGGCTCCAGACCACGCGGGACAAAGGCAAAGTCGAGCACCTCGAACGACTCGGACGGGAAGGCCTGCGTCTTGGCGTCCGCTTCGTTAACCGCTTCGACCAAGCGCTCGCGCACATCCGCCTCCGCAACAGGTTCGTGGTGGCCGCCGCGGTGGATCTTCCATGCCTGGAGGCGGCCCTTCGAGCTGGCGGCAATCACCACGCGCTCACCGACCCTGGGGCCGTGATTGGCGTGGGCAGCAGCAATGTCGCCGCGTGAAGACCCAGAGAGGGCATGGCGCAGCGTGCTCAAGAAGCCGAGGGACGCGCCGCCAAAGGGACTCCGCAGGTACTGAACCGTGATGCCCGGACGGCCGTGGGGATCCCGGACGCTCATGTAGGCTATGCGGCCGCTGCTAAACACCAACACGAAGCCGGCCGACTCGGCGCTGACGAGCTGGGTGATATGCTCACTTGAGTACATGCCGGATATTGCGTCCTCGATGCCGGTCCGTTGCTGGCGGATGAAGTCGAGGGTGGCGGCGCTCGAGATGGACTCCCAGTAGACGACTCGGCCGCTGACGGGCATAACAACCACCAGACCCGGGTCGTCGGACGAGGCGGAGGGCGGTACGAGGGCGCCCAGGGGCAGCGGGTCGCTGGCATGCTTTGAGGGGTAGGGCAGGGCGAAGGTGAAGGTCTCGGGGGACGCGGTGGTGGCAGTATAGGGCCAGACGAAGGCGTGGGTGTGTGTGAGGGCGAGGGCGTAGCCGCTGGAGAAGATGGCGCCGTGTTGGCGGCCTGTACACTCAGCATCAGTCCATTCTGTTGAAAATTGGGAGTGCTTACTCGTCGGCTCAGCGCGTAGCCTGTCTGGCAGCGCAGGGAGCTTGCTGACGGTGAATGCATTATTTGTAGTCTGTCCTAGCATTAGCACAGTACGGTTTCGCGTCTTCTCCGCTAGAATACCCACCAAGATTATGCTCCCGTCGCCCTTGCTCGTCCGCTCGCCGGACTTGGGCTTCTTGGAGCGCAGGCTGAGCTCCCGGCGCGGGCCGAGGTTCTCGATGTTTTCGATGCCGATACCATCGCGCTCGCGCTTGGCCAGCACGGGGTCGGGCTTGACCTCGAACATCTCGGGCGGCGCATCCGCGTCGGCAGGGGTCGGCGTGGGCGCGGTGTTCGACTCGGTCAGCGGTACGCGCTGGCGCTTTGCCTTGGGCTGGGTCTGCAGCGACGAGTCGGAGGCGACGGGGCGCTGGCGTCGCCGGCTGCTCCGCGTACGGGTCGCGGGGCCATCTTCGTGGAGGGTTGAGGAAAACATTGTGGTATTATTGTGTGATTAACTTGATCTGTTTGTCGGCTTAATCGTGTTGTTGGGGATCTCTGTGAGGGTTTAGGTGTTGATGTTGATGTTGACTCGATACTCGATGATGTCAAGTGTAAACGACCATGGCACAGCCAGGTCTCTCGATCGCGGACTGGGTCGGTCGTCAAAAAAAAAAACCAAAAAAAAAAAAGAAATATCGAGTCCACGATGCCGTCAATTTTGTGTCAATGTTGCTGGGAGGGCGCAAAACTCCCTCGTGCGATGCAACAAGGGAGACGATGGCTAGGTCGATGACGCCTCTGCCGGATCGATTATGATGCTCTAAAAAAAAAGAGCGGGCACTGTCGTGAGAGAAACAAGAGGCAGAATAGCAAAAGCAGCGCAGCACACCAAAGCAAAGCAAAGCAAAGCAAAGCAAAGCAAAGCATCCATCGACCGACAACTGGACCTGGCAAAGCCATGCTCCACACTCCACACACCCACCGACCGGCCTCGCTACCATTGGTCCGCGTCGACCTTGGGGCCGCCCTCCCCGGCTTCCTACTGGCCAGAGCTACGCAAGTGGAGCCTAATCGGTGGACAGGGTGGAGCCGAGCTGCCAAAAAGTCGATGCCAGGCGAGCCAAGAAGAGGCCAGACAGCGAAACGCCAAGACGCCAGACGCGCGTGGAAAACACGAATCTTCGAGGCGCCCTCGAGAGGCCCAGGGTTGGCTGAGGCTCTGCCGAGGCTCTGCCCAGGGTTGACTGAGAGAAATCAGGCCTGTCACAGGCCACCATCATCGCACACATTTCGCGGCATCAACAACAGTTCACCACTTGGTTTTTGTTTAATTTGAGCCTACCTGCACGCCAATGCGCAGACTTTTACGGGGGCGTCGGGCAGCCAATGGCCGATTCCCAAGTATCACTGCGTCCCGAAACGGCAAGATAACCGATTGATGTGCGCTCAATTCCGATGCACTTGAGTACATGCCCATTCCTTAAGAGCGATCTTCTATTTATTTGTATGCTAGGTACGTACGTCTTGTAAGTTGGGCACCAGAATGGGTTAAAACGGAAACATGGATGCAATTGGCTGCTGGGAGACGACCGGTAGCCGCGGCTGTAGTAACACCATCAGATTGCGATCACAACTGGTGTGAGTGCCGAACTCAGGTCAGCAAATTCGAGATTTACGATTCAGATTCAGATCAATTTTTTTTTAATTATTTAAGATTCAATTGACTCGTGCCCCCGCCGGGGCTGCTGCTCGGCAATGGTGGCACTTAAGAGCTGACTCGTGAGGGGAGAAGAGGGAGGGGGAGGAGAAGAAGAAAGGAAAGGAGGGGGGGGGGGGGGGGAAGGGGAAAAGGGACATGAGGGGTAACTTACGTTCTCTGTCCCTCACACCTTTTCGCCTGAAAATTACCCAAACTTACATCTTACAGCCACAGCGCCATTGACGCGACGACGACCTCCTCTCAGATGTCTTAATCCAACCTTTCTTCTCGTCATCATCATGAAGCGCGCAGCAACAACATCCTCCCTAACCATAACCGACCCCTTCATCAAATACACGACCCTCGTCGCCCAGGGAACCTACCTCCCTGACGCGGCCCAATACCGCTTAGCCCACCACCTCCAAAAAGTCTACCTTCGCCTGAAAGACTACAAGCCCTCGCCCGAGTACCGCCGACGCTTGCGTCAACTGTCTCGTGCGCTCGACGCCCATGAGGCCCACGTGCGGAACACGGCCAATCTCGCCTCGGCGTCGCATCCGATAAGGAGGAATCCGCTCTTTGCGAGGTTCTTTCAACAGGATGATGGGAACGGACAGGCATTGGGGAGGGAGTCATTGGCCCTGGCGAGGGTATTGACGAGTCACCAGGCCGCGTTAGCGATAGATTCGCCCAAGGGGCTGTTCGTGTCTGGGGAGGTCGGCACGGGGAAGAGTATGTTGCTTGATCTCCTCGCCGACGGGTTACCTACACGACATAAAAAGCGCTGGCACTTCAACACCTTCATGCTGCACACTCTTTCCAAACTCGAGCACTACCGGCGGACGTATGCTTCCCACGGCTCCGGCTCTGGCGCGGAGTACTCCCTCCTCTGGCTCGCGCGCGAGCTGGTCGAGACGTCCCCTATCTTGTTCCTCGACGAATTCCAGCTTCCCGACCGCGCAGCAAGCAAGATCATGAGCCACCTGTTCATCGCATTTTTCCAATTAGGCGGCGTGCTGGTTGCCTCGTCGAACAGAATGCCCGAGGAGTTGGAGAAGGCGACGGGGGGCGCATTTGTCCCGCCTGCGACGGGGGGATTGGTCGAGAGGGTGTTTGCTTTGGGCAGGAGACTCGCCGGATGGGGGGAGCTGTATGGGGCGAGTAGTGATTTTGCTGCGTTCTTGGAGGTGTTGAGGGCCAGATGCGAGTTTTGGCATGTGGAGGGGACGAGGGATTTTAGGAGGCGGGAGGAGGAGGTAGTGAACGTAGTGAGTGGAGGGGGTCAGTTTGATTCTCTCGATGGGGGCTCGCTCCTAACGGGCACGGCAGAACTCCCCTCGCAGAATGAACCTCCCTCCGACACGGCGACTCATCCTGCGATGTACACCCTCACCAGCTCCCCCTCAGACACCTGGTCCTCTCTCGTCCTCGCGGCCGCCGGCGTCCCTCCCCCCTCCCACTCCCCCACCTCCTGGACCCCCGATTCACACACTGTCTACGGCCGCTTGCTCCCCGTCCCCCACACACACAACGGCGTCGCGTACTTCCGCTTCCCCGACCTGGTCAGCACGCTCGGACCCGCAGATTACATCACCCTCGCCTGCAACTACCACACCTTCATCATCGATGACGTGCCCGTGCTGCCGCTGTCCATGAAGAACGAAGCAAGGCGGTTTATTACCTTGTTGGATGCCCTGTACGAGGCGAGGTGTAAGCTCTTAATTCGGGCAGCCGCCGGACCAGACGAAATATTCTTTCCCGAGACGCGGCGCCCCCGCCCCTCACAATCCCCCGACGGTACGAGCGAAGAAGGGGACGCCACCTACGCAGAAACCCTCTCCGAAGTTTACCAAGACCTGGTGTCCCCCTTCCGCCCCAACACCTCCTCCACCTACGTCCCCTCTGCCCCCGAACCCTCCCTCACTTCCCCCTCAACCACCCCCCAAATCGACTTTCTGTCCTCGACGAAAACTTTCACCGGCGAAGACGAGCGCTTCGCCTACAAGCGTGCGACCTCCCGGCTGTGGGAGTTGTGTAGCATCCGCTGGCATGGGAATCCCACAGAGCAGTGGTGGATGCCATTGCCAACAGAGGCAAGGCATTGGGAAGGCGGGGAGGTGAGTAGGCCGCTACAGGATGCTAAGGATGTGATGGTTAGGGCCGCGGGGAAGGGGGAGGGGTTCGTGGGGGAACGCGTGTTGGAGGGCCCGATGGGGTTGAGTAAGTACGTTGTAGAGAGGCTTAAGAAGGAGGAGGTTGAGCAGGTGGGGGAGGAGGGAAGTTGTGATAAAGAGGAGGGGAGGTAATCTGGGAGTGAGTTGAGTTGTTGCAGTGGTAGGTGATGAAGTAAGTTCTGATGGGATAGGACTCGGGAAGAGTAGGTGCCCCTGCAGACTTAAGGCAGCATCTAGTCAGGGGGCTTAGGCTCACAAGAGAGCCGACAGTAGTAACGATTCCGTATGCTCAGTTTGGATTCACGCACTTTGCTTTTTAGAGAGTACATAATTATACCTAGATAGAATGTAGTGTATCTTGCCAATGGCTGGCCGTTGGAGATTGTTTACAAAAAAAAAAACACTTCCTTCCCCAGAGTCTTGGCATCCTTTAACCGTTGGATGATGACGACGTTCCGGAGGGTCGATGTAACGTTAACGTTCGACTTTGGCTGATCTGGACTAAGATGTTTTCATGATCTTCAGTTCTCCCTTGGTTCACCGAGCTGTTGGCTGCAAGCAAATAGTCTTAGTAGACGTATCTAAGAGAGAGAGAGAGAGAGAGAGAGAGAGAGAGAGAGAGAGAGAGAGAGAGAGAGAGAGAGAGAGAGAGAGAGAGAGAGACGTACGTACGTACGTACGTACGTACGTACGTACGTACGTACGTACGTACGTACGTACGTACGTACGTACGTACGTACGTACGTACGTACGTACGTACGTACGTACGTACGTACGTACGTACGTACGTACGTACGTACGTACGTACGTACGTACGTACGTACGTACGTACGTACGTACGTACGACGACGACGTACGACGAACGACGAGACGAGAGAGACGAGAGACGAGAGANAGAGAGAGAGAGAGAGAGAAATCTTCATCTTCTCCAATATTTCGCAATTTTGAAGCGCACCGGTTTTCTAGCATGAAACCAATGGCAAAAACATCTTGTGTAACCACCTTCCTCGATTACTCTCGGTCCCTTGTCCCCTGTCAGCCCGCCTACCAAGAACGGTAGCTCACGATACAACGGAACATCATCTACCGTGGACCCGAGGGGCATCTTGCCATGCATCCGGATATCACATCTTGTTGGTTGGCATCATTACGTAGGATGGTATATATGATCTTCTTATTAGGCAGATGGAACATGTGTGGCGAAGGGGGGGGGGAGAGGAAAAAAAGAGGACAACTTTATTTTCTCTTTCCGTTCTTCTCATTTTCAAATTGTGATTGTTGAAGCGAAACCACAACTCTGGGTCTGGGTTGCAACACAGGGTCTGGAGACGACTTACATCATTTTCGAGACTTGTTTGGTTCTATTATAACGCTCTTCACCGTGATATGCAGAAAAACGTCTCCAAAGAGCTACACAAATGCATCCAGCTCTCTCCCACAGCGTGGTCCTCGACCTGGCGTCGTTGTAAACATCTCCCCCTCCCATAACCATTACGCATGCATACACACACATCTATCATAATCTACAACTACCTCTAGACCCAATAACAACCCCCGACTTCAGCATCCAAGACATCACCACACCAATGTCCTCCACAACATACACCCGCTATATCCCCTCCTACCAATACCAAACAATGTACAAAGAAAAACCCCTCCCCCTCTTCTCCCCTGCGCGTCGACTACCGCACTCCCAACACCCTCCTCGTCGCCGTCTTCACCTCCGACACATTACCTTCCTCTTAGCCTGCATTCTTTGCATCTGCTACTTCACTCTCCTCTCCAGCTCCTCATCCTCAGCCTCATCCCGCTCCCCCAGCCATACCCATTCAGAAACACAATCCGACACGTCAACAACGCCACAGAAACAACAACCATCGAAAGCGAGACACGATGCCGGGAAAGGGGTCCCGCCGAGCAAGAGATTACCTGCGTCACTGCTAAACAATTTGACGCTTACGGAGGAAGAGTGTCGGGCTACGTTTCCCGGGCTGATGAAGGAGATTGATGATACTGTTGCGCTGGGGCCGTTTGACGTGAAGGATACAGGAGAGTTTGGGCCGTTGCAGGGGAGAATTAAGGACGGGAAGGTATGTTTCTTTCTTTCTTTCTTTCTTTCTTTCTTTCTTTATTAGCAGGGCCAATTAGTCTCTCTGGTTGGGATGGTTATTGGGGGCATCTTTGCTGGATGGATGTGAGGTTGAAGGGAAGTAGGGTATTTATTAAGAGCCAAAGCTGACTGAAGTAACAGCTCTATATCCTCCACACGCAACGGCGCAAAGACCTTTCTCAAGAAATGGTCAACGTAAGCCCCTTTCTCCCCCCTTTTTAATCCCCTTCACTAACCTTTGCTCAAGTCCCGCACCGCCACCCTTCATTCCCTTCACCGCGCACTTTTAACCTCCCCATCCCCCATAAAAGACACAATCTTTACCCTCAATTTCCTCGATCAACCCTTCGGTACCTGCCTGACCTATTCCCGCCCGGCCGATCCCTCCCTTCACTCTCCTGACCCCAACGCCCGCCTCTTCCTCATGCCCCACTTCTCCTTCTGGGCATGGCCGCTGCCGTTTATTGGGAGTATGTCCCGCGCCATGGAGGCAATAACACGATTGGAGGAGGGACCTGAATTTGGCGGGGAGGGGGGTTGGCAGAGGAAGGTGAGCAAGGCGGTGTGGAGGGGCACGACGTGGTTTAGTAGCGTGACGAGTCCGGGGATGCGGGCCAAGCTAGTGCAGACGACCAAAGATAAGCCGTGGGCGGATGTAGAGGCTCTCGACTGGGACGGGAAGGGTAAGAGCGCGAGGAACGGGTTGAAGATTGAGGATTTTTGTCGGTATAAGTATGTCATCCACACCGAGGGGGTGACGTACAGCGGCAGGTTCCAGTACCTGCAGCAGTGTGCCAGCGTCGTCCTCACCCCGCCGATTCAGTGGGTGCAGCATACCACGCATTTAGTGCGTCCACTCTTCTCATCCGACCTGAACTTGACTCCCCGCTGGGAGCCGAGCGAGAGAGTCAAAAAGGCATGGCCCGTCCGCTACGGGCCGGAGGAGGCGAACATTGTGTTTGTCGCGCCCGACTGGTCGGATCTGGGCGCTGTTGTGGAGTGGTTGGAGCAGCATCCCGACTTGGCAGAGGGGATTGCGAGGAGGCAAAGGGAGTTGTTTGTCGGAGGGGGGTATTTCAGTCCGGCGGCCGAGGCCTGTTATTGGCGGGCGTTGATGAATGGGTGGGCAAAGGTCGCGAGGGTTGAGGGCAGTGGGCTGGAGGATATGGAGGGGACGCCGTTTGAGCTGTGGGCGATGACGAACGGGGAGTGACTTGGCTGATCGAGCTGGCTGATGGGTTTCGGTCGTGTATATAACATATATATATATCGTTCGCTGCATCCAAATCGCATCGTTTCTTTGTTGTCGCCCTCAAAGACTGGTGACTCCCGGCCCCCACCGTTCCCCAATTCGCCTCATCTCCTCGGCAAACCTCTTACTCGTAATCCTCTTCCCCCCCATACCCCCGGGCACCGAGTGCTCGTCGATTTCAAAAAACGGATTCTGCATCAGCTTGATATACGCCGCCTGCATCGCCTTAAACACAGGCCTCATCTCGCCTTCTCTCAACCCCGTCGCCGCCGTCCCCGATCTCTTCTCCGCGGCAGCAGCCACGGCAGCCGACCCATCTAGCCTGCGCCCCCGCATATCCACGACAACGACGAATCTTGTCCCGGTGTTGGTCTCGAAGCCGTATGCAGCGAGGCGGTCGTCCACGGCGTGCAGCAGGCCTAGGTCGCCGGTGAGGCCGGTACCGGCAGCTGCGTTCTGGCGGGCGCGGAGCTCAAAGACGTCGAGGGTGCTGGAGAGGATGAGGGAGAATTGGAGGGGGGTACGGACAGGGCGGTAGGTGTTGGTTGCGGGATCGTAGGAGGGGAAGATTGTTGTGTGGAGGGGGTTGTTCTAGACATAATCAGTCAGTTAGTTGTCTTCCTAGATAGTACAGACTTGGCTTTACATTTCTTCCAATAACGCCCAAGCAGGCGATGGATGGGACGGTGGTCGCCATGGGCGCGGCTTGGTGGGTGCTTGGTGGGTGCTTGGTGATGTTGAGCTGGAGTTAAGCGGTAGCAGAGCTCAGGGTAAGGGATGACGTTGTCTGTATATACTTACCGTAAAACCTTGTAATATTGAATGTTACGACCTTACGACCCCGCTGGTCATAGCTCCGTCTTGGCATCAGTGAATTTCTCATGATTTTTCCATTCATTCTCTCCATCGACCTCCGTCCTCGTCCTCACCTTCATCAAAAAAGAAAACACACAACCCGGGCTCAGCCTGACAATCGCCATGGCGAAGGACATCCCCTCGATCCACGCCCTCGACAAGCCTGAGAGGCTCGAGGACCTCCTACGCCAAGACCGCGGCGACGACTGTCTGGGCTGCCGCATCGTGGGTGAGTCTTAAAAGAACTTAGATAAATTCCCCAAATTTCAAACAAAAATAAGCAAAAAAAAAGGAAAAAAGGAAAAAGAAAAGGAAAAAAAAAGAAAGCATGGAAGCTGACACCCTCAGGCGGCGGCGCGTTCCTCGGTTTGGCAGCCTATAGCTACTTCTCAGGGCACTCCCAGCTCGAGAAGCAACAAGCACAGATCCTGGCCAGCGGCTCACGCTTCGGCATGCGCAGCAGACGGCTCGGCATCAACATCATCTCGCTCAGCCTGGCGTGGTTGGGCGTGTGGCGATTGACGAAGTAAGGGTTTATGGGGGGATTGGTGTACTATTCTGTATACAGTATGTGTTATGATGTGTTATGGCCTGTACACTACGACTTGTTTGTATCATACTGATGAGTTATGAATGGGATAAAATAGATACCCTTTTCGCACGTCACTTCAAGGGACGAAGGGGATAGAAGATTGAGTGAAATGCTTCAAGAAGCCTATATACACCAAATCTCATCTGCCACCATAAAAACAAAAACAAGAAACAGGTAGGCAGTTGGGTACGACAGTATGTACTCTGATTCTTCCTACTCAATCCTCTCCCCCTTTTGGTCTACATCGTCACCAGCCCCCCTAGCTAACCAGACAATAGTCTGAAGATGCTTCCAAGCAGACGCTTAGAACGGAGGGTTGGCATTCCGCAGCAGCATCTCAAAGTAGGCCTGGTTCCACTGGCCAGCCTCCGGCGAAGGCTTGAAGCTCTCCTCCTTGCCGCAGAAGCTGTCGTAGCGCTCGGCCGACGGATCGCTGGTACCGTCCGACTCGCCGCCCGGCTTGACCCACACGAAGGCGTCGCACAGCTCGGAGCCCGTGTTGGTCGTGAAACGCTGGCCGAAGCCGGCGCCGTTGACTGGACGTCAAAGTCAGCATCTCTCTTTAGTGATTCTAAAGGAGGGACTTCCTCAGGAGACTCACTGTTGCACCAATTGCCCCACTCCTTGCGGAGGCCCTGCACGCCGTTGCGGCCGGTGTCGACGATGGCGTGGTTGGGCATGCCCGCGTCGCGCAGGTAGCGGCCGAAGACCTCGACGTACGTCTTCTCGTTCTGGCACTGGTTCCACTGGGCGTCGGAAGCGCGCGAGAACTCGCCGGGGGTGAGATCCCTGGGACACAGTCAGCACGTTATCCTGTTTCTTTTTTACCGGTCTCTCAAGAAAGGGGTTCGACGAACCAAGCATTCCACCCAGCCACGTTAGTGGCAATACCGCGGACCTGGCTGGGGCTGCCGGCGGACCTGTACACGCTAGCCAGCTCCTCGGCGCCCGGGCGCAGGTTGCTGTCCCAACCGAGCCAGCCGCCGTGGCCGGCGTCAATGTACATGACGACGTTGGGCAGATTGAGAGTGCGCAGGGCGTAGGCGACGCCCTCGCGGTACTCGCGCGCCGCGTCGCGGCACTTTTGCACGTCGCTGTTGGTCACCAAGTTCGGCAGCGAGTCGGGCTCGATGACCAGCGCGAAGGCCACGTTGCTGTGCTTCTTGATGATCTCGGCGATTTCTGCTGTTGTCAGCCCTGCCCTCCCGCTGATTCAAGGACCGAGTCGGCACTTACTATCGATATAGTCATACTTATACCGATTAATCTCGCCCGTCCTCAGCTCGCCGTTCGACGCCTTGGCAGCACAGTCTCTCCCCGGCAAGTTATAAACGACCGCGCCAAAGATATGATCGCACGGCACGTCAACAAGGTTATCCTCGAACCGCTTGATGTTCGCGATCGTGTCGATCCACAGGAAGCTCCCCACGTCGGCGACCTTCAGCGCCTTGGCTGCCAGCGTCGGGTCCGAGATCTGTGCGGCCGCCGCCTCCACCTCGCTGCGGTAGAAGTTGTTCGCGTGCAGCGTGTACTGCCGGAAGACGTTGGTTTTGGCGTCGAGCGTGACGGCCGAGGGGCAGCCGTGAGAGGCCTGACGAGGCTTTAGGGGGGTTGTGTGGGTTGGGTTGGGGGCGGCGAGCGCCGCGGTGGCGAGGGAAAGGAGGGTAGAGGTTGTGAGCTTCATTGTCACGGCTTGGGAGATCAGGAAGAAAGGGATGAAGATGATCGACCTGGCTTAGCTGAGCTGAGCTGAGCTGCTGGTGATGAGGACGTCAGGAGGGGAAGACAAGGAGCTCTTTATATCTCCAGAACCTCGCTGTCCTGCATCTGCAACTCTGCGATTAATTCATCATCTCCATCCCATCTCCATCCCCCACCACCATCGGCTGCTCTTCCCGGCGCCGCTCGGGGCGTCTTCCCCCCTTCCTCCCTGGACGCTCAATCAGGAATCCAGGCCCGTCGAGCAGGGCCGTACAAACACCTCATTGACAACCGACTTCTCGGTCAGGATGTTCCGAAGTCCAGTCTGGACATACAGCCATCGCCGCGCCGTGCCGAGCGACGGCCACTCGCGTACAGCAAGCATATATGGATACTGCGGGGCCCTGTAGATGGATGGATGGATGGGTGCCGAGCCAGGCAAATAGCAGCACGCCCTTCAATATCCGGTTGGCTGCTTTCAATTTCTTCGGGACGAGCTTGGCCGTGACCAGGTCCGAGGTGCAGATTGGTGGAAGCTTTTTCATGATTGTTTCCCCCTACGTACGGAGGGGATCTGGAAGGCCAGAAAGAAGGAATTGGGAGATATGCGTCTGCTGGTGTCAATTAGGGTACACAGAGTGTGGGGATCGCAATTCATCTACTACCCGCAGCTCCGTCCTGGGCAATCTACGTCCTGGGGATCTACCTCCCCTTCATGCAGGGCATATGTGCGTTCATTTGGGAGAACCTGTTCGGGCGGTTATGTTTCCCGATGTGGCTATGGTGATTATACAAGTTGTCCGTACAGAGCATGTTGCTGATGCCTTCCCCCTTGCAGGCGCTATTTACTACCTCTGGAACGCAAGGATCGTCATGACGTGTGGGGTATGGAAGATTTGGTCATGGCTGTTAGTTGGGTGTCGGCTCGCCGTATGGGAGTCCCCGTAGAGAGGAGACCATCTGGTGGGCTCGGTGCCAAATGGAGAGCAATATACGGGAACGGAGAGCATGGCTCCCCGTGTTTGCCGCCGCCGCCGCCGCCGCCGCCGCCGCTGCTGCTGCTGCTGCTGCTGCTTGGATGAATGGCTGACCGGCTAGGCTGAACAGGAGAGGTGCATCGCACGGGTTAAGTGAGAATGGGCTTGGAACAGACACGTTCAACCCTGAATCTTGGGAGCCCAGAATGAAGATCCAGGACCCTACTCCATGGCCATGTGAACACGCTCAAGTTTCACAAACCATCCATCGATACCAACGACTAAGTCCTACTTCAGGCTCAGTCAAATCCTGCCCCATTCCCTCACAAAGTTTTGGTGCGGGGGGAAGGCCTATATTACCCACGAACCACATTTCCACTTTCCCTCTCCCTCCCCGTTCCCCAAACCGTAAGAGTATTCACTCAGTCAGGTTGACACATATAAACAACCTTACCCTATATTCCCCGATCCAGTAGCAGTCTGCCCAGACAGGCTGTTCCGGCTGGCGAGATCGGTACCGGCCCCCCATTAGGTAGGGAGGTTGCCGTGGCGCGCGGCAGTTGCTGGCTAAATGCCACCCCTCCCTGCCGCCATTTGAAACATAATTCCCCGTGTCTTGTCTGCGGAGATTGCTTGGCATCGGCATGGGCTGCAGATGAGCTGTCATTCGTGAGTCTCGTTCGGATCGGGAGATACCTAGTCAGGCAGGGGTTGGGAGCCATTTAAGTCGCAGGATTGCAGGGTTGGGGAATTATAGCCGGCTGGGCCCTGGGGGCCGTTCGGGCTGTCAAGTGAGTTCGCAGCGCGTATCATGTCTTTTTTGTTTCTTAGCACAGCCTTAATTGATGTAGAGTAGAGAACACTATAGACAGATAATCTTGGCGCTGCTTACATGCACTAGTCGGGATTTGGGAAGATGATATGTTAAATCGTCTTCAATTTCCCAAAGAGAGATTTGACCAGGGCCTACTGATACAAACCATCCTGGGATAGGTCCTCCGAATCTCATAAGCGACGATGAGGTTTCCCAAACAGAGCTATCAACCTAACAAATATCGAGATTCTGTCCCAATTGCGCTCAAATCTTGCGCAGTTCCTCTCTTTACTCGTGTTTCAAGCTCTTAAGCCAAAGGTTCTGGTCAGTAGCGCTCCAGTAAGAATCCAGCTTCAGCCCGTGCCGGCTAAACCTCCCGGCATCTGCCTTTCAAATAAACAACCCACCCTATATACATATAAACAATATATCCACATGTCTCGGCGGCCGGCTCGGCCTGACGCGGTCCAAACCTCCGTTATGGTGTCACCAGTGACCAATCCATGCCGTAGTCAACCTACGTGGCCCGAATGGGCGCTTTTTCTTACCCTTATTCCCCGGGGGAAGAGAGGGTGGGGGGGGGGGCGGTTGGTTGTTGCGTATTACGATCATGCTCACTCGATCTTCCTGCAGCGATGACACAACCGATCTGACGACTGCATGAAAAGCGGTTGAGCGGCTGCGAGACCGTTAACGAAAAATGAGGTGCTCATCTTTCGGAACAGGAACCCGTCATTTGCTTCATTAACTAATAGTGCAAGGGATCGCTTGGAAGGAGGAAGAGCTGGCTTCTAGAAGCCACAATCCCTCGAATCTAGAGGGTCCGGAAAGTGGATGACGATAAGAAGACCCAAGGAGTACAAGCAAACCCGGAAGGGGTTTGAGAAGAGCGCGAGCGGCAGCCCGGAGAACGGTTGATAGGAGGGAGGGAGGAAAGCACTGGTCCCCCACTGATGGTCGGCTGGTGCTGTTGTCCTTAATTGCCGTCCTTGACGCCCGAATACTCGTAGGCTCCCCCTCTTATTGTGGAATGTGTGATGGACGACAAAGACTTCGAGGTAACGAATGGGTGTGTCACGAGAACACATTCTCTTGATGAGCCCAGATCATCGCGAACTGCCCTCTTCGGTAGTAGGTATGAGGTGCCTCTGTTGATGAAGTCGGAAGTACAACTCTTGGTTTCATACCCGAGCTGCAGGCCAAGATTCACAGAAACAAAGTATGTATCGCTACCCATGCGACAGTCTTTCATTCCAGGAGTTTCAGATGTGTGGTCATGATGGGCTTCCCGGCGCACGGCTAGGTCTTAATAGCTTGATAGAACCGGGATCCAACCCGCATCTGAACCATGAACCGGGGCTTGTACGAAGTGCATGTCGGCATCATGGGAGGAGAAAGGAACCGAGGATGTGTTAGGGGTTTAGGACGATACCTGGTTCATGGGATGTTTCCCGCAGTTGATTATTGACAGCAAGAGGCTGGCCCAGTTCAAACGGATCTCCCCAGTCAACAAAAAGATAAAATTGAATTCCCTTTAAGCTTTTTCTTTTTCTTTTTTTTTTTTAAAAAAATACACCATTGACCTCTCTAGATGCGCCACTGAAGACCCTAACTGTAACAATACATCGTTTTAATTTTTCTAACATCCCCAACTCTTTCTATTTCGTGCTTACCCCTCAAACAAACGGGGGCAGCGCGAAAGGATAACCTGGGTTCTTTCCCCTGAAAATGCTCATCAAGAAGCTGTAAACAAAGTACATGACGCCACCCCAAGCGAGCAGAGCGACGCTCTGAGTCTTGGGGTCCGTCATGCGAGGCACCTTGATGGCGAGGGAGATGCCCGACAGGGCGAGGATACCGTCTGTTACAACCAGTTAGACTCCATTACAGCACATACACACAATTGCCAAGCGAGAGAGAAGAGAACTTACACAACGCCGCAACAATCTGCGTCTCCAACCCATACTGATTCTGAAACCCGTGCGCAAAATACGCAATGCCGCCTCGCCCATCTCCCGCTACGTATGGCACGTTCCGGATCTGGTTGAACATGTGCCCGCTCGTGAACAAGAGAATGGAAATCAGCGTGATGGCTGCCCACACCGTGCGGCTCTGCACGACCGGCAGCACGTACGGCCAGGCAACCAGCGAGGCGGTCGCGCCGCCGGCCAGCAGGACGATCGTCGTGATCCAGCGCATCCAGTTGATCGGGCGCTTAATTGGGGGGTGAGGGCGGTTAGGCAGGTGGCGAGAGAGCCAGGCGTGGATGTGCTCGGCGGGGGCGGGACTAGGGATGTTAGTTAGTCTGAGGGATGTGTTTGGAAGAAAGATTGAGAAGGACGGGCCTCACCCATTGGTGAAGTCATAACGAATCGGCTCAGACGAGCCCGAGGCGTGCGGGCCGACGGTGGGAGGGAAGAGGAAGAGCACGGGGGCGGTTTGCAGGCCGAACTGCCAAAGTGTTAGTTAACCATTCAAACCTGCATCTCCTCCAGAAACCCAGTGCTCACACTCATAAAGATATCTCTCCCATCCAGAAAGTCCAACGTCCCAAAAAGCAGCCTCGACTCTCCCTTTTTATCCCCCTTCGTCCAGCTCCTAGCAAGTAGTTCCCACTCCGGCTGGAACTCGCGACACAGCTGGCACACAAAGCGCGAGTCGAGTGCCGTCATGAGCACGGCCACCGAGTAGTCGCGCGGGGCGGCCGTCAGCTCGCGGTAGGACGCATCGGAGAGCTTGACGGGCGTAGAAGAGAGCGATTTGGCGTGGAAGTGGTTGAAGCGCTCCTCGGGGGCTCTCTTAGACGCAGAGGCAGACTTGGCGGCGACGGCCGGGTTGACTGCTGTGAGCAGCAGCGATGCTGCCGACAGGAGGGCCGGCAGCCAGCGCATGGTGGGTGAGTGAGGGGTGGCGGCGGGGTGTCAATGAATTGGTGTTGACGTCGAAGTCGAGGTCGACGGGTTGAATGTTGGTGATCAACTGCAAATCCGATTCACACAAAGCACAAGCACCAGGCCTCGTGGCTGTGGATCATCCACTGTGTCCTCAACGTCAGCGCTGCAGCAACCGAGCAACCGCAGGGCTTCGAAGCTGGAACCCTGTAGTCTTGGCGTTGGCAGCTGGCAACCGTGGATTGGTGGGGCGGGGACTGCGCTAAACCAAATACGGAAGACTGTTTACTTTTGAGGTCGCAACTAAGTTGCCCAGCCGGTGCCCATTCTTTTCTCCTCCTCCCCAGCACACTCCCACATCCTCATCATCCGACTCCGCATCGTCAGTGGCCCGGACCATAAACACTAGAAAAACACCCGAAGACTCTGGTAAAAAGTGCATAACTTAGCCTTTCGTAACCTGTTCACTTCATCAAACCCTCGGCTCCGGCCACATCCCCATTCATGGCGCCCAAACACGCGTCGCAGGGTGTAAACAATGACCCTGCAAAGGTTTGTCGACCGCCGCATTGGGCCCCAACGCTCAACAGAATGTGCGCTGACAGTCCTCCAGACAGCTGATCTCATCCACGAACTGGAGAAGAAGTACCTGGAAGCCTCGCACCAGTGCGATCTCATTGTTAAGGACGAGGAGAAGCGGCGAGAGGCCGTGCGTGCCATAATCCAGCGGCACGACGCCGAGTCGCTCAAGCAGCAGGTCTCCCAGAAGGACACTCGCATCAACGAGCTCGTCGAGCAGGCGGAGAACCTGATCTCGCAATTGACGCTCGCCCAGGACAAGAGCCAGCGGCAGGACAAACTTATCCAGGCGCATGCGCGCGAGATTCGGGATCTGAGGGTAGCGTACCTGACTCAAGCCTCATGTTTGGGACTATGCTGACATAAAGGTAGGAGGAACTCTCCGCCTTCAATTCCGTCGCCCAAGACCACAGCAAGCTCTTGTCAGAAAAGCTCGCCCTGCAGCGCGAGCTCGCCGCGCTCAAGCCCGAGGTTGAGCATCTCCGGTCACAGCTGGCTCAGCAAAAGGACGTCCTTGCCGAGAAGCTGGCCCTCGAGCGCCAGCTCAGCGCTATGGAGATGGAACTCGCCAAGCAGAAGCGCGCGGCGGAGCGGAGCGCCAACAAGGGCAGCGAGACCGAGGAAGAACTACAAGCCCTGAGGCAACAGCTCGCTGCCGCGGAGCACAAGCTCAAGAAGCATAAGGACGCCGCCGTCAAGGCGCACGAAGAGGCTGAGTCACTCCGCCAGGAACTGGAGGAGGCCAAGCGGGCGCTGAAGAGCGCACGCAAGAGCTCTGCCAGCTCCCCTAACACCGAAGCCTCGTCTGAGGAAATCGCCCAGCTCCGCCAGGAGCTTGCCGAGACCCGCAAGGCTCTGGAAGAGGAGAGGAAAGAGCACGAAAAGCAACGCAAGCAGCACGAGCAGGCCCTGGTCGACGCCGAGGAGCGCCAACAAGCCATGGGCGACCGCATCGAGAAGCTGCGCGGTAAGCTGCGCGAGGCTCGCGACGAACTGAAGAAGGCGAGGGCCGAGCTCGAGCGGCAAGAGCAAGAGCGGACTATCAGGGCGAGCAGCGTCGCCTCTTCTGTCGGCAGTACTGCCATACCCGCCGTCAAGGGCATCTCCGCCGTGGGCAAGACACCCCTCGTCAGCAGGAAGAAGGCCATGTCTGAGGAGCCTTTGATTACGGAAAAGGTTCTCCAGACGCCGTCCTGCCACGACGACAAATTCAAGCGCCCGCTGATTAAGAAGCGCGGGTTTGACCTGTCCATGGTAGGCGGCAAGTCGGAGTTTTCTATCACTCCCTTCCTGAACAAGACCGGCAACGTGGACGACCTGCCTGCTATAACCCTCGAAACCCCTGCGCCAGCGGCTCATGTCAAGACTGAGCACCACTCCTCCGAAGAAGACGAAAAGAAAATCGACGTCTCCCTCCCCTCCAAGCTCACCCTCGACAAGAAATCCCGCGGCCGTCCGGCCGGTAGCTCATCACGCACCGCTAAGCCCCTGGCCGACGCCCCCCCCTCCGCAAGCAACCTCCCCGCCATCCCCCGTCCACGCATCCCCAAGTCTCTCGCCGGCGCCGGCACCGGTGGCAAGAAGGGTGCCTCCTCATCAACATCATCCTCGCTGGAAAAGGTCTCCGAAGAACCGGAGGACCTCCTCGCTGATGAAGACACCACCAATGCCACCAACTCCACAGCTACAACCACGACAACAGACGAAGCCAAACACGACCAAGAGAACCGTGCTAATACCACGGTAATCACCACCAAATCCGGCGCCACAATAGTCATCGAGAAGAAGAAAAAGAAGAGGCTCCTCGGTGCAGGCGGAAAAGGCATGCAGGCTACGAGCGCGGCAGCCGTTTTTGGGGCCACAGACGGGGAGGTGGTGATTGGGGGTGATGCAGAGGAGATTGTGAAGCCGGTTGTAAGGAAGGTTAGTGGGAAGGTGAACAGGGCTGGAGGAAATGCAAATGGCGGACAGCCGAGTAAGAGTGTGTTTGGGAGTGGGCAGTTCTCCCCTTTGAAACGGGATCGGAGGGGGGTGGGGGCTAGTTTTTTGGTGTAGATTGACTGGGTAGTTATTGGGAGGTTATGTTGAATGATGGTGTATGTTGATTGCTTCTGAGGGAGGCATATACATCATGGGTGGCGTTAAGGGATTGCATTTTTTTTTTCCCTTGCTTTGTTGATGATTTTATTTGGGTTGGGTTAAGCGTTTTTGTTTGTTTGCTTGTTGTTGTTGTCTGTTTTTTTTTGTTGCATTGGTAGGGTAATACATCGTTATCTACCCGATTCAGGGATTTGGTGATATGAAAATGCCTGATATCAATGTCGACGGCTTGCCTTTTTACTTGGCAGTACCCATGTTGCATCATGAGGGTGACCATGCCTGAATGTTGATGCTTGATATGCCAACTTGGATTGTGGATATTCGGTTGTGAAAACCACTCCACTTATTATTGGTCTTCATCTTTTGGCAGCTAAGTGTATCTCCAAGTCCTTGAAGCCTTCTCTGCTCTTTTCTCCTCAAAGAGATGAGTCGTCTGCTCAGACGTGTTCCCTATGGTGAACATAGGTTATCGTTGACAGCCTTTTGCAGATTCCTCACTAGCTGCATAATATCCATCAATCGAAACTAAAGTGACCCACAATAGCGGGGTTATGGAAATACTCTAACCACAACGCTCAGCATACGCAACCCAGCAAAAAGTTGGGTTTTATCAACGGCGATCTTCAATGCCTTCCACACTTACTTATCTCTCCTCACGCCGGAGACTTCTTAATCCTTTACATCATAATCCAGCTTCTCTCTCATCCCCTCATTACATGATCTCATAACGCACCATGCCGGCGCCACGAGCCAAGGCGCCCGTCCGCCTACCCCTTCTCTCTCACTCTCTCCTCAGTTCGATAGGATCAGTACCAGTCTCATCGAGACCACCAACGAGCCAATCTCTAACGACCGCCGCAGCCTCCCCGACCCGAAGCTTCGGTAAACCTTACTCATTAGTACACTCCCTCCCCGCCGTCCATCCTTCCTCACTTCTTCTCTCATCCCAATCAACACAACAACCCCACTCCCCCTTCACTCCTATCCGCCCCTTCACCACCTCTCCCTCCCCTTCCTCCAAATCCTCCTCCTCCACCCGCTGGCGTACCCGCCAACTCTCCGACCCCTACACCCGCGAAGCAAAAGTCCAAGGCCTTAAATCCCGCGCTGCCTTCAAGCTCCTCGAACTGGACTCCAAATACCGGCTTTTCCGACGTAACGCAGGCCAGGTAATCGTCGACCTCGGGTTCGCGCCCGGTTCGTGGTCGCAAGTCGCCGTCGACCGCACGGCGCCGGATGGGAGGGTCGTGGGGATAGACATCATCCCTGCACAACCTCCTAAGGGGGTGAGTACGATACAGGGGAATTTCCTCAGTCCGGGGGTGCAGAGGATGGTGAAGCAATTATTGGTGGAGGGGGAGAGGAGGAGGAGGATAGAGAGGAAGGAGAGGAGGGGGAGGGAGAGGGAGATGAGGGGGCAGGGAGAGGGGGAGGGAGAGGGGGAAGTGGTGGTGGAGCAAGAGAGTTATCTGGAAATGGAGCGCAAGGCGGCAATGGAGAGCGAGATGGTTGCTAGAGAAGAGGAGGAGGCGAATCTGGAAGATGGGAAGAACCTGCGGTTGGTAGACGTGCGTACCGACAACCCACTTATCTCCCTTTCTCGATTTTCCCTCCCTTCTTTCTACGTAGAACCTCACACTAACACCCCCAACTCTAAACAGGTCGTCCTCAGTGACATGTCCGACCCCTGGCCCCAGACCCACGGCTTCTCGGTCAACAGTTTGAGTAACCCGCACCATAGGATGATGAACACGAGCGGCATCGCGTTCAAGGACCACGCCGGAAGCATGGTAATTCCCCCCTCTTGTTTAGTTTCAATCCCTCCCTCACTCCCCACTCATGCGTGACCCTCTTCCCCCTCCGGGCAAACAGGACCTCTGCCGCGCCGCACTATCCTTCGCCTCCGACACGCTCAAGCCCGGCGGCCACTTCGTCTGCAAGTTTTACCAAGGAGCCGAGGACAAGGCCTTTGAGCAGCTGCTCAAGAAAATGTTCGCCAAGGTGCACAGAGAGAAGCCCTATGCCTCGCGGCCTGTAAGTCCTTTTTATTTTTTAGCCCTACGATTTTCTTGAGAAGTCTTCCCTGACCTCGTGTAGGAATCGAAAGAAGCCTTCTTCGTCGCCCTGAGGAGAAAAGGAGACGTGACACTCCAGGACATTGAGAAACAATCCGGGTCGCAATGACGAGCCGTGTACCATCAGCCACATCTCCGCCTTGCTGGCAAGGAGAGAGATTTGTATTACTGTACCATACCATATACCTTGTACCATAAAGTTGCATGTACCAAGGACACGTCACGATTGAGGGCCAAGGAGATCACCATAGTCATCACGCATCACACTAATAGTGTCGTCGCAAGGCTGGCATTCGATTCATAGCCGTGGCATCAGCAACATATTCTTCATACCCGTAGAAAAGAAACCCGTAAAATACCAGAGCCTTTTTCTCCCCATATGCTGTTGATTTTTTGCGCCAGGTCGCTGACGTGCCCACGAAATCCCGTAAAGCATGTGCCATAACACCAGAGCCATTGCGACGACCAGGAACCCCACGCCGTGAACCACCAAACTCCAGAGGGTATCGGCATCCACTGCTTTAGACCTTGAAGCCGCGCGACCTCCTGCGACCACGAGCACGCTCGAACTTGCGGCCCTTGGAGCGGACATAGGGCTTCTGTGGGGGGTGTTAGTTGTGCATAAAAAACCAAAAAATTAGAAAACGCACCTTGTGCTTGTGGGGACCGAAGCCAAAGTGCTTGACGGCCTCGCGAGCGTTCTTGGGGCCGCGCAGCAGGAGGGTGTTGGCGCCAGTGGGCTTCTCCAGAGCCAGCTGATCGAGGGTAAGGGTGCGGCCACCAGCAGCCTCGATGCGGGCGCGGGCCTTAGCGGTGAAGCGCAGGGCGGCGACCTCCATCTTAGGGACCTGCAGGAGGCGGTTGTCGTCGGTGACGGTGGCAACGACGACGACCGTCTTCTTCTCGTTGCCGTTCTTGAGGTTGCGGGCAATGCGCGACAGCGAGACGGGCGGGCGGTTGATGCGGCTCATGAACAGGCGGCGCAGGACCACCTTGTTGAAGGGAGCCTCAGTACGGCCTAGAGCCAGTTAGCAACTGTCCCCAATCTCAAGAAGGTGAGCAAGCTTACGGGCCAGGAAGCGGTACAGCTTCACCAAGAGCTTGAGGTAGACGTTGTCGCTCTTGGGGGCCTTGCGGTGCGAGGACCGCACGTGCTTCCAGCGCAGATCGATACCTGTAGAGGGCCAAGGACTCCGGTCAGCCTTTTGAATCCTGTATGCTCAAATTGGCGAGCTCGACCAGCTGGATCCCGTCATCTCGAGAGGATTACGTGCCCATTGAGATGCGTCCTGTTACCAGACGACGACTCGGCGGCGATCTCCTCGAGATTTAGACGACGGGCGCCGGGAGCGAAAAGAGGGCCAATGAAGGCGCAGACGAGATCTATATTTCAAGACCTCGTCCACTTGCATACGCAGAGGCTGAGGAGGCACTACGTACCCATCGTGACGGTGACTTGTGAATGCCGACAAATTCCAAGTCGATGGGGGAGGTTCGTTGGGCGATGGTCGGAAAAAACGAGCGACGTAAAAATTGGCGAGAATTTGGCTGGTGGATGGAGGGTTGTGGGCGCGGGCGGTCAGACGCGGCAGAATGTGGGGGACTACAGGGTCGCAGCCCCACCCTAACCCTGGGGAACCTCAACTTCTCAAAGCTCACCCCTCCAGCAGCGAGACAGCAGGCAATGAAGTCATCGCCAAGCTGAGAACGCGAATTCTTTTCGGCTGGTAATTAGAAGGACATGAATTATTAAAACTATATGCTCGTCAAAAGCTACCAAAAAAGATGATACCAAACTATGTAACGCGGTTTATGCTCCCCATGACAGGGGTCCTCAGGGACACACTACTGAAGTGCAATCAAGACCAATGTCTACTCTCTAGTGATAGCTGATCTCTGGGAAAGCAAGTGACTGTTAATTCTTGCAACGCTGAAAAGACTTTGCAAGAATGAAAGTTCTTTGAGATCCAATGGTCTAGCTCCCTTCCCCTGCAAGCTATCCAAAAAGCCCTGTCCAGCAAACCAACCTACTTGATGTCTTTTGCGTGCTTCAACAACTGCTGTCTATCCTGTACTCTATGCCTTTGTTTTATGAACGCTGTCAATGCCAGTTGATGGAAAATGCCATCCTCTCACATAAGTCGTTAGATAATGCTCCCCTATTAGCATACTATCCTGCCCACTTGGACGGTTATGTAGCAAGAAAACTCAGCAGAAGAGGCTTGAGCACGACCTTAAGCCTGGGGTAAACAGTTAAGAGAGAAATGTCATCACTGCCCAGCACTTCACTGAAGTAGCTTCTCAGCAGGCCTCAGGCCAAGCAAGAAATCGCGCGAAACCTCATAACTGAGCCAGCTGGCCGCCATACTGGGCGCGACTTTGAGCGTGTTCGGGATGACACCCTTGTAGAAACCGACAAAGCCCTCAGTGCGGACAATGACACGCACAGCGTCGGCGAGTGATTTGTACTGGTAGCCCAGACCGTCCATGGTGTTGACCTGGAAGCGGCGGCGCAGGACGTCACTGGGAATTATCAGTCGTTGTTCACTGAGCACTGTGAAGAGTAGGGAAACTCACAAAGGATATGTGCACGTCTGCGCCACGGCGCCCGAAATAGCGCCCGCGACAAGCTTGCGCACCGACGACGGGTTCTGCTCGCCCTCTTTGGTGAAGTAACCGCGGAGGAACTCGTAGACCATGAAATTGAGGCCGACCTATAGAGTAACCAACGTTAGCCTCCACTTTACCCTCTCTCTACCTCCCATCCCCCCCTCTCCCTCCAAAAAAAAAAACACATACATATGGCGCGACGCCCATAACAGTGGGGATAAGCCCTCTGTACAGCGCGGGCAGGCCACCCTCGTTCTTGTACATCAGGACCATGTTCCCCCACATGCCGGGCAGCTTCTGCGGACGGTTGTGCTGCAGCTCGGCGAACGATGCCGACTGGATCGACAAGCGCGTGCGGACAATATCCAGTGGGTAGGTCGTGACGACTGAGGTAATGCCCGCAATGCCACCGCAGACCAGGCGTGAGAGAGGCGTGAGGGTGTCGCCGGGGTACCGCTCAAAGAAGTGCTATATACGTGCAAGGCTCGTCAGCTCAACCATGTCAACACTACCCTCCCGTGGGAAAACGCACTCTCTTATAAAAATTATAACTCCCAAACTGCACGGCACTATACGGCACAATGCGAATACAATTGACGCCATTCCCCCTCATAAACCCTCTCCACCCTTCCTCTCTCCACATCTTAGCCAGTGCCTTGCCGACGCTGAGCCGGTATGCGTCGCGCCCCGCGCTCTGCACCTGCAGCAGGATCTTGAGCCGCTCCAATGGCGACACCACGGTGCGCGACACCGCACCCGCCACGCCGCCCGCGCAGAACGCAGCCGTCACCGGCTCCGAGATGTACAGCCGGAAGTGCGTGATAGGGCCCAGCTTCGGCATTTGCTGTTGCTGCTGCTTCGCGGCTGGCATCTCGGACTGCGCGCCGGTTGCTGGCGTCGCAGCCGCCGCGGCCGCTGCTGCCTCGCGAGATGAGGACATGGTGTTTACTGCTCGTCACTTGGGCTCGCTGGCCTCGCTGGGCTGGGCTGGGCTAGGAGTCGGTCGGTTGCTGCGCGGTGCGCGGACTCGATCGGTCGGTCAGTTGGTTGGTCGGGACGGGACTGCCTGTCGGGGGAGGGAGGTTCGGTTAGAAGAGGTTCTTAGACGTTAATATGGGGTTTCCGGCTCAGGGCCCAGGGATTCTTTAGTTTTCCACTCAATGTTCGGGATACCCCATCCAAAATTTGGAGAAAGGGGAGGGGGAACCTTGGTGGGGCAGAGGGAAGAAAGCGCTGCGCGAAAAGGCCACGCGCCGGACAAGGGGCAGGCGGGCAACGTACGCAGCTGGAAAATCCTGAAAGAATTGGGCCTGGAACCCGAGGGCTCGAGACACTTCCTCAGCGAAGTGTCAGTCAGGCCTTTCGCAAAGGGAGAGGCGCGGGAGTCGCGAAGTAAGCGGCACTCTGTCGTCGTAGGTCGGGCTCCTCTTTTAGGACTTGGGAGTCAGGGAGCCTGGAAAGCGCAGAGAGCCGGGATGGAAGTCGCTGGGAGCACTCGACAGAAGCGCGCCTTGTCAATAGAAGGGTGTCGACGGTCGAGAAGTTAGGTTCAGAGTAGGTAACTGACGACGAGGTAGGCTACGGTTTGGCAACCAGCATCTCGGGGATCGTGACTCTCAAGACCGCAGGTGAGAGGGGCATAGGATGAACCGGCGCTGCTGTCAGATGGGATCGAAGAGCACTTAGACAATGGCGACCCGTAGATAGCGGCGCAAGTCGGCGAGCGCTTTTCCGTCTGTCGAGGGCGAGGCCAAAGGAGTGTTGGAAGTTCAACTAGTTCGAGGCCTGGAAAATGAGGAAAAGGAGAAAGACCAGAACCTGTCAGGGGACAAAGGACCAACGTCCAAGAAAGAGTGAAAGAGCCCCAGGGCCGCGTGAGTGGCTTGTGGGGAAGGGCAGGGTCTCCAAGTCAAGACTCCAATTGGAATAATAAGACGCCCTCACTCATCATCAACCACTCAAAAACGATTCGGCATTGGCAAACGCGCTCGTTCGGCTATGACGAAAAATGCAAACCAAGCACATGGGGCGCCAAGCCTTGCTCATCAGCGGCGGAAGGCGGCTCAGCGGGCACTAAACTTGGGATTTTGCCCTTGTTATCACTTATCTGCACGTAACCGAGTGACAAGCCGCGCTGACGACCTGACTTAACACAGTAAATCCCTCGCCGCTGGGTAGTAACTCACTCAGACAAGCAGCTTTGACCATATCCCCACTCACTTTAGATCTGAATCTGGCTTTCATCCCGATCTTGGGAACCTTGTCTAAATTTCGAAGCACTGACTTAGAATAGGGGCTGTGAAACGAGTAATCATCAACCACACTTTTCAAAGCCAGATCACGAGGTCTAATTGCGGCTATAATCATCCGCCCATTCATAGCTCCTCGACTCGAATCTTTAGCTTTCGTATCCAGACTGATCCCTAAATCACCCGGTGCTTACTCGAGACTTTCACCCAGACCCTGAGTATGATCCTTATATAAGCTATTCGAGAAGGCAAAGACCAAATAAAACAACCTCAAGTCAAATCCTCATCTCTGACGCTGCCGAGGGTTAAGCCATCTGCACAGTAAATTCAGGTGCCCTGACGTTGACAACCACGCAGTGCCCGATTTGCTCCTCCTGCATTAGAGCCCACTGTCCTTCTGCCAAGTGACGCTCACTCGTTGGCCAGCGACTTTCAGCCCTCCGGGCTGTTGGGCTGCGAGTAAGCCAGGCACCAACAAATCATCTTCCATGGCAGAGCCAACCTGAATATGTTCAGGCATTTAAGCTCAGTTTAACGATCATATCGCGTTGCTTTATAATAGTAGTAAATGAACTGGTGTACTATTATCTGGCTCAGCGCTCCCAAGTCCCCTAGCCCTTTATCCCCCGCCATGCCGCTGATAACCATTTATGTCACTCTGCCCCTCCAATCTGCGGGGAAGGAGAAAAAAGACTGCAGTCCAGATGACATTTTTCACAGCACGCTTCGGCTTGGCGGAAGAAGCCCCTCTCTTCTCGACTTGAGCTCCAGAAGAGTCTCACTCAGGTAGGTAACTTTGACTTCTTATCTCATCCCGCTGTACGTCACGTTCCCTTGCCCCGGATAGCGAATGGAAGCCAAGTAATAGGGACACAGAATAGACATCCAAATCCTGAAACCCACACCGCCATCATGAGCCACAAACTTGCATAAAAATCATGAACTTGCTACTCTCACTGTCGTGCCAAATCTTTGGCCCATGACGCACACCCTCGAATAGACACATGTAGCTGCAGAGTCATGTAGAAGGGAACATGTAGAAGGGAAAAAAAAAATCAACCTCCATTGCTACCTACTAACATTTTTTTCCTCTATCGTATGTGTCCCACCAGAATCAATTCAGAAATAAACGACCGGAAGCGTGTTGTTCCTACGGAAGCACGTCCAATAGTCGTCTCCTGTCCAGACCCAGGACTAACTCGTCACTTGTCTCCCCATCTAACTGACTCCCAGGAAACAATATGACACATCGTTCCGGTGGGACCGGTGAGATGAATAGACGAGTGAACCCAGATACGGCCGGCTCGAAAAAAACTAGAGGACAACAGGGGTAGTGAAATGCTCGCTAGTCGGAACGCGCCGCGACGTCCAACCATCAGTAGTTCACCATTTGACGGAAGGGAATAAGGGAGAAGGGGAAAACGGGAAAAAAAGAAGCCAAGCACACATTAACAGTCTTACAACCGAAACCCCGAAGAACGAGAAAACGACGACGGAAAGCAAAGCAGAACCCCACTACTAGGCGATAACGGGCTCACTCAGCAACGTCGAGGTCGTCGTGACCGGGCCGTTCAGGGCTATCGAGGGCTGTGTGACCGATCAGCAGCCGCTCATTGCTGGGAATAGGTAGGAGACATACGCTTCTTCTCTTCACCATTGGCGCCACTGTCGCGCCGGTCGCGCTCGTCACGATCGCGGTCACGCTCACGCTCACGCTCCCTATCGCGGTCGCGCTCACGATCGCGGTCACGATCATCACGCATGTCACGGTCGCGGTCACTGAATAGCGTCAGCATCGTGTGGCTCAGGGCAGGCGTTATCCTATGGGACTCACCGATCAGGGCTGCGAGAGCGGTCACGGGTGTCGCGGCGGTCACGGTCATAGTCGCGATCACGATCACGGTCGCGGTCGCGGCGATCGCGGTCATCACGGCGAGGGGAGTAGTCGCGGCGGCGCGGGCTAGGAGAACGGCGACGAGGAGAGCGACGGCGGTCACGGTCGCTGCGGTCGAAGCGCCACGAAGCCGACGGGGGAGTGCGGGCCCACTGTGCGTTGTGTTAGCATCAACATCTCTCTTGATTAGCTGAGTAAGCGTACCTCGATCTTCAGGATATCATCGCGACCGAAACGCTTGTTGTGCATTTCGTGGTACGCGTCATCCGCGTCGCGGCGGTCCTCGTATTCGACGAAGGCAAACCTACCATTGGTCAGCGACCTGTTCACTCGAGGGGACAATGTAAAAAAGAAAAAAAATAAAAAGAATAAAACTTACAGTCTGCTGTTTGCAGAGCGCGGAGCCGGGATGTCGCAACGGACAAGACGGCCATAGCTAAATGGATATTTTTGTCAGCATCTCAAAACACATGGAGGGGATTACCGCCATTTCATTTCTGTAGAAACATTTAATCGAAGCCGCGCATGGTGAAGCCCCAGAGTAAACTGCCGCCTCTAGAAGGCAACACCGCCCGAGAGAAATAGGAAATAAATTTCCACGTTTTCGCCGACCGCTCGATATCGAAGGAGGGAAGGGGGAGGAGGAGGGAAGGCGGCGCGGAGAACGAGGATCGAGCGAGGAACGGGCGGACGACAGGAGCGACGGCGAGGATACAGGGAGAAGAAGGACGAGGAGAAGGGGGGCGATGGGGGATCGCGAGCGCGACGACGAGGGAGGGAAGGACGGAGGAGAAAAGGGGGGAGGAGGACGGCAGGAGAAGATTCGAGGAGGATCGAGCTCGAAGCTGGTGATCGAGCCATCGGCGTGGTGGTTAGACGTACCGCTCGAATTCGTACGCGAGGTCGCGCGCGCGCGTGCCGTGGCTGAAGCCGGTCACGTAGAGGGTGGTACCGGGGCGAGACATGATGGATACGATGGTCGGTTGATGAGGAAATAGAAGAAGCGGTTGGGCAGAGAGAAGATAACGAATCCAGGCGAGCCCCGAAAACGGTGCGAGACACTGGAGTGGCTAAGAATCAATCAATTTGGTGATCAAACACGACAAGCTCAGTGAAGCGCTTGATGCCTTGCAAAGCGGCAAAGCAAGTCTACTGCGCGGCAACGAGGTTGTCGATGGATCCCAGGAGAAGAGTTGAGGAGGTGAGAGATGGAACGTTCGGGGAAAGTGGAAATCCTCCCAGAACAGTCTAGGCTGGGCAGTCCACCCGTTTTTGTGCTGTGCCTGGTTTGATTGGCTGGACGCGTCTCGGGTTCTGTAGTTTGTGTCTGTGCGTTAAGGCTTTGCTGACCGTCCACGTGAGAATCGAGTGCGGGTCAAGGTAGGTGTGGCGAGGAACTAAAGGGGAAAATGGCGCTTGGTGTGGCGGTGTAAAAATTTAAAAGTCTCGTCGTGACAGCGGACCCGCAACCCACAGATCTTCGATCCTCAGACAAAATCTCCGCTTTTGCGGAGACCAGATGAGCGCATCGTCCGCTTGCACAATCGCATCGCCGGCCATCTGATTCCAATAAAAGGGTCTTTGGTGTGAAGAGACGAGCAGAATACCTTGCTTTGGACAGCATCCGGCTGCATCTTCCTGCATGTGTCGCATCAAGAAGTCTGGTTGAGGTACAGTCCGTGGTCCCAATTCGCACATTTGCAGTGAACCAGCGTCTGTGGTGCTCTTGTGTAAGTCGTCGTGTCAAAGGGTTTCAATCACGAGCAGGGACCAGGGTACAAATTTGACAGGTTCGAGCTTAGTAGTGTCTTCACAACAAGGGTTCTATAAGCATTGGATTCGATCGCTAGCGTTCCTGAGATTCTAAGTCGAGCTATCTTGTACAATACTGCAGCAGATGGCTCTCAACTGTGATATAGACGAATTACATCTTCTACGAAGATTTGGGCAGTTTCGGCTCTTCTTTGAGTGTTCTCACGACTTAAGGTTCCCAAGCCGAAGTTGAAAACTACGTCTCTCGCTCTGGGTCAAGTCCAGCCAACAGCTGCCCTCACCGAGGGCATCATGAAGATACCTTGGCCTGGAAATATACGGCCTTCAACGGAACGAGGACTTCTGGGAGTGCTGGACTTACATAATTCCAGCTGCTCATTCAATAAAACAAGCTCGTTTCGATTGCGTGCTTGGTTTATATTCGCTGATGTTGGACAAACTTTGCTGATATTCAACACCCCCTGCCCCCCGGGCCTGCTTTCACAGTCTCTTTCTATCCAAGTGAAGAGGCAACGGCAGGGAAACGGTTCAGGCATTACTGAGCTTGTCTGTTGTGCAGAAAGCTGCAAGATGTCGTTTGAAGGCGTGGCATGTCAAGTGACGGTCAGCACATCTTATTTCTTTTAGGTTTGTTGGGCGCACTAAGGTGCTTTCTGGATCTTATGGCCAGACAAGGACAGATAGCCACACGCTTACAGCTCCAAAAGGCGCCGCCCAAATTTGTTCAAGAATGATTCAAGAGCATCCTTGCATTTTCCTTCAGTGGGCAAAAGGCAATATACCTCTGTCCATCCTTTTGAGGCCAGTGATGAACTCTCTCTATGTTGAGGCATTGCTACTTACTGTGGGCAATACCACGAAAGCAAGTCTAAGATTAGTGTTCAGAGTGCTGAGGTCTCATTCATCATTTTCCTGGGAGGTTTTATTATGGGTGGTGGTAATTTTGTAGTAAGATAATACTAATATGAGGAGGACCGAGGACAGGACAGCGAAGACAAATGGTCACGGATAGACATGTCAACAGACTTTAGTCGGCTGGGATGATGGACTGACTGACTTCATCGTCAGTTCAACCTAATATCCAGCTGCCTTTTATACTCTATGAAACCATTTAACCGGTGTCCTTACATGCCGTGCTATGCATACTACATGAATGTACCCTGAGCCTGAGGTAGGTGAATCCCCATGATCATGTCAGATTCTTAACGTTAAGCAGCCTCTAACAACCTAATGGTTGGATAGGTGCTTTACGCTTAAGGCATCAGACTTGGTGAGATAAAGCTGGAGGAGCAGTAACCCCTCCAGGGGGACCCGAGTTTCTATTAGTGTTATTGAAAACCTAAAGCTGCGCATTCCGGAATGGTAGCATCAAGCCCTTCAGGTGAGTCAAGTGACCTCTCTAGGACGTCTTGTCAGAGGGATAGGCTAGTTTAAGAGCAACCGTCTTCAAACGATGGTAGGTGCGCCTTTATTTTCAGGTAAGTCTTTGGTCTACACAATCACAGCTAGATAGCTACCACTGCTGTCCTCAAGCCCATCTGGTATATTTTCCTTGAGTTGGCCCGATAATCTCATTGGGGGATTGCCAAGTAGCCGACCTATTTCTCTTCAACCACTCTGCAACCCAAGCTCACAATCAACCAACTCATCCCCAACCAAGCCGGCACATGGTGAACCCTGGCATGGTCTTTCACCTTCAAACAATGGCTACGCCTGGTCTGAGCTGTGCCGAGAGCAAAACTTGGAACATCGAGCTCATTACCGGTCTGCGTGTGATCCTCGTTCTGCGTTGGATTTTGGCTTCTCCGCCAAGAGAGCTGGAGTTCAGACAGACGGTCACTAGGGGGCACTGTCGCAGTTCCCGGTCAGCGATGATGTGTTTTGTTAGTACAAGGTCCGACAGATCAGAACGTAGAATGCCCAATTGTGAGAGGATTGGAGGTTTGTAGATACTGGTTATAAAACTTGAGCCTTCTTGAACACAAGCGAGTCAGCTTTGAGTCCTTTCCAACTTCCCAAAACGCTTGATTCACTCGAGGCATCCTGCTAAGTCTCAAGCATGGGTAACGGGTGATGATTTGACAAAGCTCAAAAACATTTATTTTCCGACCAGATCATCTACATACTCCGACACAACCGTAGACGCTGCCATTATACCGCAGCCCCCCATCTGCCATAGAAGTAACCGCTCTCTCGTCAAGCAAGTTGGTATCGTTGAAAAACGCTATATCTTCTTCGACAATGAACCCAAAGACAACAACCCTCATTTAAGACACATGAGTAAGCATGCTGTCATGGTATCATCTTTCCCATCCTCTCCTCTCTAACCCCCTCCCCCTTGACTTAATTTGGCGTCTCCCCAGCCTCCCCATTCGGCCTAACAGGCAATTCCTTCACCTCGCCATCGGCCTTCGCCTGGCCATCGGCCTTCTGCTGGTCCTTGTTGCCCGGGTAGCGTGTGCCCTTGTTCTTGACCTTCTTCTCCTTCTTGGGCGGCGGGGGGTAAGCCTTCTCAGCAATTTCCTGCCACTCCTTAGAGGCTTGGTAGGCCTCCTGGATAGGGGCAAGCAGGCGGTTGAGGGCCTCGGTGATGGCGGGCTTAATGAGTTGAGGGGTCAACTGTAATTTGTTAGCATCTTTCTGTGAGGGGGGACAAGGGGAAGACTACGTACCACATCGTTCTTATAATCCTCCCTCACCCTCTCAATATCCGTATAAACCAACGGCTCCAATCCATCCCTACTCCTATCAACTCGGAATTCCCCATCCCCGCGCAGTCTCGCCGCCGGCAGCAGCACAAACTCAATAAACGCCAACAGTCCATTCTCCTCAACCACCTGCGGCGCAGCATGTGCCTTTCGAATCTTCTTCGCCACTACCTCCGGCGCATCCAGCAAATCAATCTTACTATCTGGATCGCTCGAGCTCATCTTGCCGCCATGCAAGCCCGGCACCATCGGGTTCAACAAATGGGCTCTCTCGCGATACCCTAGCTTCGGCAGCCACTCTTTCGCCGCCGTAAACAACTTCCTTTGATCCATCCCCCCAAATTGCGCGTCCACGTCGAGGTACTGCTCGTCTAGCACCTGCAGGATGGGATACAACAATCCCGAGAGCGGGGCGTTGTCACTTTGCTTGACGACCTCTGCACCGGCCTTCTTGGCATCATGCTCGGAGATCAAGGATGCCATTTTGTACACGTCCATGACGTACTCCGCGCTCTTTTGGTAGGACGAGCCGAGCACGATGCGCAGTTTCTCGGTGGAGACGCCCACAGCCTTGAGCATGGCAGTGATGATGTGCCGGTAGAACTCAGCGCGGTACATGACCAGCTCGAGGGGGGCTTTCAGGTTGTCGAGGAAGCCGTGGATGTCGGCTAACAGGATGGTCACATCGCAGCCGGCGGCGAGGAACTGGGCAATTTTGATAGCGGGCACGAAGTAGCCGCAGTGAGGGCGGCCAGTGGTTGCGGTACCTGTTTGGGGGGAAGGTCAGCGACGTTTCAGGAAATGTTGACAGTGAAGTACATACCCCAATAAATCTTAGGATGCTTCCCCTCATCAAGAATCTTTTTGATGATCTCCTCGTTGAGCACCTCGGCAAGGTTCTCCTTGATGAGGGCCAATCTTTGGTCGGGGGTCATCTCGGCCATGGTGTCTTTCCCTCACAAACTTTTTTCGATTCTTGAGTGTCACCTTCAGTGTGGTGGTTCTGATCAACGTTGACAAGACGAATTCCTCAAGTCACTACCTGTGGGCCGTCGTCCTTTAAACTTCTCGGTCTGGTGGCACGGAGGTTGTAGGTCAGAGATCAGAAACGGATTGACTCAAAACAATTTGGTGGGGCAAAGCCGCTGTTGGCCGCAGCGAGGGGCACGGCGGGGCAGCGTTGTTTCTTCAGGGGTCCCCGCAATTTGCCCTTGGCCACCGCCCTGCAGTTGTGGGTTATTTTGGGGGGAGGGGGGGGACCCTGATAGGTGCTTGCCTCTCATCAGTGCTTGTCACGGCTTTGTTTTGTCGGTTTCATTCCATCCGGTCTCTGGAATGATTCATCCTTTTTTTTTTCGAGTTCTAGGACTGCCAGGCATGTTGGGCAAAACTAGGTTAAGGCATTCTGACTCTGCTTGGCTATCTTCCGTATTCCATAACAGGAAATTCGGTGGTTAGTTTTTGAGCAGGTTCATTCATATCAGTCCCCAAACAAGGTCCGATTGCTGCCAGAGAAACACCTGCAGCAACGACAACGATGGATCCACACAGCTGAGATTCAATGATGCAGGGGATGTAGGGCTTCTACCTAGATCCTACTCATAAGCTCAGGAGAAGGCTCAGTCACCAGTCACTCCGTAGTAGTTCGTCTCAAGAAGCTGGCCCTTTCTCTCTACTGTGGAGAGCATCATTGACTCGAGCTCACCGGAAGGCTCTGCGACAACGGGCCTGAGCTCGAGCCGGGACGCCAGGGGAGAGAGAGGGGAGAGAGAGGGGAGAGGGAGGGGGGGGGGGAGAGAGAGAGAGCTCGATAACCCACACCTACCCGACTCTCTGCGTGCAATATCACGAAGCAGGCACACGGTCAGTTATTTCCAACCATTGAAGAAACCGATCCATGTTCATTCATATCAACTTTTCTCTGAACCAGCCTGCCAGCCTATCCCATCCACCAAATACGTAGTTCATAGGTATAAGGAATACTTCATACAACTTCCTCAATGGCCGCCCATCCTTTCATACGTAGCCATCAACGAGCCTGTAGACGGCCGTTAGCCTCATTTCCATCTTCCAAACATGGAACCTCAGGGGCCGGGCAGGGTACTTACCAATAAACGTCGTCACAAGCCTGCTCCTCACCTGGCAGATATCCTCCGGCACGAGCCAGATAGTAGCACCCATCTTTCTCGCAATGCTAATCGCTAACTTAGCATTATTATAGGCATCCTCCTCGGTAAGACCCGGCGTGACCAGATCATAATCCACATAGCTGCTCTTCATGCCATTAAGCACATCCAGCAGGAACACACCAGTCCCAATTGCCGGGTCCTTGAATGACCGGATACTCGAGGTGCGGCCGCCCTTGCGACTCATATCATTCGCCCACCGCACCATCTCATTATCCGTGATCTCCCTCTTGCCCAACCTCTGCGCCAGCCCCTTCAGGGTCAGCGTGATATCCTTCCGCATGAGCTGCCAGACCAGGCCCAGCGTCAGCGTGCGCTGACCGTCGGTGATATCAGCCCCCTGAATACCCACAAGTGAGAACCCGTTTTGCTTGCCGAGCTCGATCGCATAGTTGGTATTCTCGACCGCCTTGAACCGAAGCATCTCCCCGCCATGCGCAGGCGGCTTATTGACATAACGCCAGTTGACCGAGTTCGGGATAACCTTGTCGTAGGCCTGCAGGAGGATGGTGCCGTCGCGGAGGTCGTCGAAGAAGGATTGCACGGCGGGCTGCACGTCGAGGGAGTTGAGCCAGAGGGTGAAGACGCGGGCTTCGCGCTCGCCCTCGGCGTCGAAGTCCTCGACCTGCAGCTTCTCCTCTTCCGTGATGGGCTCCAGGCAGGGATGCGTGTTGAACAAGTTGGCGACGAAGGCCAGGTTGAGCTTGGGGTTGCCGGCGACGAGGGAGGATGGGGTCAGGAACTTGCGGCAGCCGAGCTTGTCGGCGTTATGAAGAACCTGCTCGGCGCGCTGGAGCAGGTCGCGCGTTTGCAGGGGCGCGCGGGTGCAGCCGTACTCTGCGCCGATCTGCGCCAGCAGCACGGTGTAGTTCTCGCCGTCCTTGACGTCGTTGGAGAAGTTGGTGACGCGGCGCGGCCAGTTGGCGGCCTTGAGGTGGTAGTTGAACCAGCGCAGCAGGATCTGCTCAGGCGGCAGGCGCAGGAACTGCTCGAGGGTCTCATCCTCCTCCAGCAGCCGGTACAGCTCGGGGTGCAGCTTAATGTCGATCTTGCCGAGCAGACCACGGCGGATGATCTGCCAGATCAGGCCCAGAATTAGATGCTCGCGCACCTCGATGATGTCCTGGGCGCCGATGTTGACGACGGAGCAGCCGATGCCCTTGGCCGACTCGATGACGATGTTGTTGTTCTCCGTCATCTGGAAGGCGTTGAGAGTCTTGTGCTTCTTGCCGGGGATGTTGAGCACACGCTCGTCAATGGTGTCGGGCACGCTGTCGTTGATCAGCTTGGCCAGCACGAGACCGTCCTTGCACTCATCGAACATCTCGAAGGTGTCGGTCGGGAAGGGCAGGCGGTGGCCGATGTCCGGGTCGCCGGCCAGCACGGCATTGATGTGACGGGTGAATTCGGTGCGCTCATCTTCGTTGATGGTGTGCGTGATGTTAGCGTTCGACCCCTGCACGAAGATCTTGCCGCCGCTGATGCTGCCCTTGGACTGGTGGCCGCCTGTCCGTTGTGAGATGACGGCGGCGGGCGACGACGCGGGAATAGTGCTATGCTGCCCGCTGGAGGAGCGCTCGCGGACCTTGGCGATGAGCTGTGGCAGTCAGCAAAGTGGTCTTCAGGAAACTGCGCCGAGGAAAGAGGGGCAACATACCCCAATGTAGTCCTCCAGCTCTACCCGGCGCGACGAGTCGAGCTCGACCTCCTTCAGTGCCTGGCGCACGACGTCGTAGGGTTGGCGCTCGCTTGCTTGGGTGGCTTTGATGGCAGTGGCCTCGTCAATGTACCCCTTGTCGTCGACATCCAACTTGCGGAAGGCGTCGGCTAGCGAGAAGAGGTCATTCTGCTGGAATTGAGGGAATTTCCTTGGGCATATCAATATCAATAACGATGCCTCTGTGTTATCATTGCGCTGAGTGCTCACCTCTGTAGCTTCAGAACGTTCATAGACATGGTGGCGGCGATGGGTCTGCAGAGCCGGCGAGAGAACTCAGTGAGGATTGGGTTTTAAGAAGCAAAGGGAGGGGGGGGAGGTGGAGTTGTGATAATCTGATGATATGGAGTTCTTTCGTGCGCGTGTGCAAAGGTAACAAAGAATCGCAGAGCTGGCCTCGATGGCCGACACAGGGTTCAGAGCAACAATGGGAGTAGATCAAATAGATAGAGCCGGGGGGGGGGGTTTGCAAGGCGCAAGCTTGGTGGATTTGTACTATGCGAAGTCAATGATTGTAGGGGTACGGGGCCGGGGTGAAGGGCCTGGTCCGTAGCGGGCATCCTCAAGGACAGGCACGCAAGCTGGATCCGTGGATGGAGTACATGAGTGGGGTGGGTGAGGGGCCCCTTGGCTCAGCACAGCCAAGCAGGAAGCTCTGATGTAATCTCGGCTGGAGCCCGGTCCCCTCAGCAGCTGAGGAGACACTTCACAGTAGAGGGGGCTGAGATGGTGGCACAAGAGGAGCTCTGGGCAGCAACCAAGCCACAGTGGATTGCGTAACGGCCAATCAGCCGTCCAGGCAGCACGAAAAGGCACCGCTTGGAAGGAGAGCGGCCTGTTAAGAAGCGACCTGGTATTGGTACCTGAAACAGCGGGGTTCCAGCAGTGAAAATAGGACGGGGCTCTAAGGTACCTCACTAACTCGCAGATTGGGAAATTTTTTGTGAAATTCTCCTATCAACCTCTCGTAGATAACCTCACTTCTGACTTTGTGGCAGTGGTGACGACGACTCTCTGGGCATTCGCCACTAACCCAGTCCTAGGACTCATCCAATCGACTTATACACGTCCAAACGGGTTTTTCGGAAAAGGTACCCATCATAGGACTCGGCGAGCCCTCGTCAACGCCAATAATGAACATGAAATGACTTAACATCTCATACAGAAATATCATTTTACCCCAGTCACTCACTCATCCCGTTCTCATCAACAATTTTCTCACACCACTGGGTCAGTCAATGTCTCCAAAATGACAACCCTCACCTGCCAAACCTGCCACGACCCCCTCATCATCCCCATCGAGCCCGACTCCGACGTTGAAGAGCAACCCGCCTGTTCCTCCTCTTCCTCATCCCCCCAAACCGTCCCCGATGACCTCCTCCTCCCCTGCGGCTGCCACTTCCACTGGCAATGTTTCCTCGACCTAGCCAGCACCATCTACTCCTCCCTGCGCTGCCCCTCTTGCAACGCCTACCTCCCCTCAGAGTCTGCCGGGTCAAGTAGCAAACCCACGAATCCCCAAATCCTTACCACCTACACCAACGAAGGCGGCGTGCAACCCTCCCTCGACCTGTACCCCACGCTCCAAGAAGAAGCTTATTTAGCAGCAAACCCCTCCTCCCGGCCGGCCCGCGCCTTCCAATCCTTTGCTTCCGAAGGCGACGTGCAGGGTATGGTCTCCGTGTTGCGCAGCCTCATCGAACCAGATTCCGACTCGGAAGATGACTCCAACACCCCTAAACTCACACCAGCAGAGGTACTTACTTACCGTGACCCCCTCAATAACGACAAAACAGCCCTGCATCTGGCCATCGAAAACCGACAAGAAGAAGCCGTGTGGGCATTGCTTTGGCTCGGGAGCGGGGCGCCAACGGAGCTGTTTCCGCCGGCGGTGCCGGCTGCGGCGGTGGGGTTGGGGCTGCCTAGAAGGTTGGAGCAGGGGCCGATCCCGGTCGAGGAGGATGTGCGGTTCGTAAGGGATGGGGAGGGACGGACAGCGGGGGATTTGTGTTTGGAGATTGGGGAGGGATGGGAGAAACTGGTGCAGGGGGGGTTGTTTATGAGTTAGGGGGAGGGAAGGGGAGAAAGGGGGGGGGGATGACGGATGGAGGACGTAAGGAATTGATGAAATGTTGAGGGGGTAGATGGATGACGGGTCATGAAAAGCGTATAAAAAAGGGTCTTGGGAATATGATTAACGTATCACGGTCATGGATGGAGATAGATCTCCCACTGACGAGAAAGAAAAATTAGAAGGAAAAATATTTACTTCTTACACCAACCAAACCATGTTGAAATGGCATTTTCATGCATCCTACTTTCCGGCCTGCCGCCCAATCTAATGCAGTTGTAACCGTGCCCCTATGCAGACTACAGTCCCTAAAACAAATGCTGATGGATGCTCTTTTTTTTTTTTTTTTTAAACGCCATACACCTCCCAATGCTAATGCTAACTTCCTATCTTTATCCCAACACGCCCCAAACACGGATTCAACTTCTCCCCTCCTTGCCCTTCCCCTCTTTACACCCAGAATTCGGCTTATCACCCAAAATCTGCGACAACAAAAAGTGCAGCACATCCTGATCGCCCCAATAGCTTATATGGGAGGCGAGCATAGTGATGGGGTTAAAGTCTAGGAGGTTTCTGCTGTCTGTCAGTCATCCAAACCGTCCACTTCGTGTTAGGGAAGGGGGAGAGAGGGGGGGGGGGGGAAAGGAAACCTACTCTTGAATACAATAATCCACCCTCCCATTGCGATTCAACGCCCTAATTCTTGCCTCCTCCCGCTTCAAATACTGCGCCCTACGCTCCTCCTCCAACCATTTCTCGTGGCTGTAGCCAGCTCCCTGGCCCTTGGCCATGTCGACTCTATTCTTCTGGAACCGGCTGAAGAGGGTCTCGACTTCGCCTTCGACGGGGGCGGTGGTGTCGCCATTCTTAACCAGAGCATTACCGCTCGTTGTGTCAGAGGCAATCGGCTGCTGCTGCTTCCCGGCCTCACCACCAGCCGCCTCAGAAATGCCCCCGGTCGAAAAAGAGATATTCGTCCCCGCCCCGGGACTCAACACATAACCCCTTTCTTTCTCCAGCTGCTCGGCCTGCCTCGACGCCTCAATCCTCGCCACATCCTCCCCGCTAATCCCCAGACTCCGATTCAATAACCCCGCGCTAATACTATTAAACAACCCGCCCACACTCCTCCCCACCTTAGCACTGATCCCCCCTAGCCCCAGTCCCTGCTGCGCGACACTACCCAAAAAACCCGATTTCTTGGTATATGGCAAGGTCTGGGGTTTCAGCGAGGTCATGATGCGGGAGATGAGCGGCTCCATGCGGTAGGCGATAGGGTCGGAGGGGTGAAAGATGTTGTAGAGTTGGGAAACTTTGGGGGAGGAGATGGGGGAGCCGTTGGGGGAGAGGCTCCGGTGGAAGTGGTAGTGATGCTCTTGAAAGGGGTCATCTGTGAGATCAGAGTTGATATTGTTCGTGTTGCTGCTGCTGCTGCTGCTGCCGTTGTTGTTGTTGTTGTTGTTGTTGTTGTTGTTGGAGAGAGCGTTGACATATGCTCGGGCGGCGATCTTGCGTCCCTTAATCATCTCGAAGAGGCCGATCGGTGAGCCCAGGCAGTAGAGGTGGTCTACCTCGAAGTCAAAACGGGGCTCTTTCTTCTCCTTCTGCTGCTGCTCGGGCGATGGGTGGTGGTGGTAGGTAGGCCAGAATCGAAGCGGGTTTCGCGACGACTCGACGGCCACGACCGGGGGCTCATCCTTAAGCCGACAAAGAATATCAAACATGATGGCCGAACCCAGGGAATGTCCCACGACATGGACTTTCCCATTGAATCCTGGATTACGTTCCTTAAAGATGCGGTATATCCGATTGCACTCGTTCACGACGATCTGTGAGATCTGCTCCTGATAGGCGCTCTGATACAGGAGAACGTCAAGAGCAAGATCGGAGATGAGGGAGCGGGCGAAGCCCACGCCTTCGACGGTGATGTCGTCGAGCGAGGGGTAGTCTTCTTCGTCATAGGGATCGCCGATGTCGTGCTCTCCTTTCTTTGACTTGTCCTTAGGGAAGTCGACGAGGTGCCGCCACATGACGGGAAGCACTTGGACGCGGCTGTTGCCGAGGCCAGGTTCGTCGAGCTCCTCGTTCAAGGCTCGCAGATCGGGGGATGCCGCGTACACTTCTTTGATGGTCTTACGCATGGTGTTAACGTCGTGGATGAAGTTGACGCTCTCCATTCTGGCAGTGGGTTAGCATGAAGTCAAGACTGAGATGGGGGGAAAGAGAGAGAGAGAGAAGAGAGAGAGAGAGAGAGAGAGAGAGGGGTATAAAGTAACGCACCTGCGGGACAGCTGCTGCCCGATACCGTGAGTAACCAAACTAAATGTTCAATCACACGCCCCTGGTTGTCATCCGCCCGGCTCTTATAGTCACGCGAGATCTCCTTCTCCTCGCGCTGCCTGATAGCCTCCTCCTCGGCTTGGGGATCAGTCTTACCCTCTATCAGGTTCGAGAGCTGCCGCGTCAGGCGATTCTTGGTGGCCTCAAAGGCATCCGGGGTTTCTGGCTTGGTTCCAGCCGCATCAGAGTCACTGTACGCTGTTGACTCAGAAGCCTGTTTCTCATCCTTCTTCTTGTCTTGTGCCGTCGACTTCGCATCTGTCGGCGTCTGCGGGCGTTTCTCCTCCTTCGTTTTCTTTTCGCTGTATCCACGGACAAGCTTGTAACCGCCCAGGTAGCTGCCGCCAGCGAACTTCTCATAGACTGCCGAAGTTACCCAGGCCAAGACGCCATCCGTAGAGAGGAAAGCTGTGGTAGCGTCTTGGTATGTCACGACGCTGTTCATGTAGTTGCCAAAGAGCCGGAGGCTCGGGAGCGGTTGCGCAGGAGGGGGCGTGCCCTTCTTGGCAGCTTCTTCCTGAGTCTCGGCAGTCGCCTTGAGGTTGCCGTTCGAAGGCTTCGGCGTTACTGTCTTGGACCCAGAGGCGCTGCGCGTCCGTGGGGGCAACAGCCACGGCTTGACCTTGAGGTAGCCCTCTTCGAGCTGCGCGGCCAGATTCTCGTCGCATGGCCGGAGATTGGAGCCTTCTTGGAAGAACCAGCTGCCGCGACGGACCTCGTAGACGGGGCCTTCCCAGTAGACGGGGGTGAGCTCGCGGGCTTCGATGTTGACATCGAACAAGAAGTCCTCTTTCACGGGAACCTTGGTCGCATTCTCCTGTGAATCAGAGTCGACGGATGAGAGAGCGCGAGGTCGCTTAGATCCGGCGCGCGCAACGGCGTTACTGTTGTTCTGGTCTCTTTCGTCCTCCAGCTCTTGTAGCTTGCGCTGGTATGCTGCCTCAATGGCGCGAGAGTCTTCGGGCGAAAAGGCGTCAAACTTTTTTGGCTGGACCACTTTTGTCTCGCCATCGCGGGGGAGCAGGAACTTGGGCTTCCGCTTGGGGACCTGCCGCTGGGGGGTTAGAAAATCTCCTATGAAGAGTACCCTTGTTGCCATGTACTCACATCAACAGCATGGAACCATTGGACCTTAAGAGGGGGGCAATCAGGGGGATAACGGCGCGCGCTCAACCCGTAGAAGGGGTTGGTCGCATGGTCGACAGTCTGCGAGACGGCCGCCGCCGTCGCCTGGGGGTCTTTGGACGATGAAGGCGTCGAGCTGCGACTACCAGCCCACGGATTGATGGACTCGACGGCAGACGCCAGGTACGACTTTTCGGCCTTCTTCTCGCTCGAGCCGACGGGACCAGGGCCAGGCATGGCTAGACTAAAGAGAGTCACCGGGAAGAACCCGCAGGTTGCTCGACAGACGTCACCCGCGCTCCGCAGCCGGGGGTTGATGCGATGGAGCGCGAGGCGTCCGGATCGAGGTCCAACGCGGGACAAGAGACTTGCGGTAGACGCCAATTCGGAGCAGGCCAAGGGTCAATGGGGGCGACAGAGTCGAGGGGGCTGCCGGTCCCACGAGGTTAAAGGGAACGCAACCCTAGGAGTGGATGAAGCCTTGCTTAGGAGAGAAGCTGGTCAGATGCGGTGCAGCGCGAGGACCAGCGCCGCAACTCGATTGTAGGCGGTTCGTGGAAGTCGGCAATCGTGGTAACCGGATAATGGAGGATATGGATGGGTAATGGGCAGTTGGTTTTCTTATTGATGACGGCAACGATGCTGAGATTGAATAGGGACAGCTGGCTAGACGGGAATGAATTGACCAGCAAGACGACCAGTGATCAGCCCTCGGTCCATAGTTGAGCCCAGTCCTAATCCAGGTCCGCGTTTGGGCCAACATCCATTTGCGCTCTTCTCACGACAACGACGGGACATGACCTGGACTGTGCAGCTACACAAACTTTTGGGAAGACAGAACCCAGTACACCAGCGCACATGCTTCACTGTCTTGTAACCGATGACGGAGGGTGCTGCAACGCGGCTCTCTGATTGGCGGGATGCTGCAGGGCAGCGGTTCCCAAGACCCCCGACGTCCCAGCATCCCCGAGCCGGGAACCTGGAGCTGCTAGCCTGCTTGCCCGCAAGTCATGACGGTGGGTGGGCAGCGGGCAGAGGACACGGGCTGCAGCGCCAAGCCCCGCCCGTGGCGGCGCATCGTCCGCTTCTTGGCGCTGTGGCAGCAGGGTAGCGTGCCTGCAGCATGGTGGGGCACGAGCGGTTGGTGGCCGATGGAGTCATCGGCTGGCTATATAGACTGTGCACTAGCTAGGAGAGTATAGCAGAGAAGATATCAGTCGACTCGATAGAAACGTTAAAGGAAAAATTTGAGATAAGCTTTAGATTCGTACTAGTTAGAATATACATAACCGGCGAGAGATCGCAGCTTGCGTTGCATTAACAAGACCCAGGTCCTTGTCCAAGTGCCCCGCACGTTGCGTACCCCAGTCTTTTTAGGCGCTGCAGTGCCCCGCCTTCGACAAATTTCGCGACGATAGCGACCAAATTCCATTTCTCAGCATCCAACACCTCTGCAACAAAGCAGCACGACGCCAGCACTCGCAAATTATGACCAGGTAGCGCCGGAGAAAAATCGAGCGCACGACAAACCTGCCATCCGGTATCGCGATCGAACCACCACAATGTCGGTCGCAGTGACGCGTCGGCGCAAGGAGCAGGTCGTCGACCAGCGCCCGAAGCGCTTCAAGGCGCTCAAGTTCGGCATCCAGTACGACACCCAGCTTTCTTTGGTGATGATAGTTATACAGGCTGACAAAAAGCAGGTCGCATCAGGACATAGTGAGCCAGGGTGTGCTCGAGGTGTCGGACAACCTCCTTTACGATGTCGAGAACAACAGAACCGCCTTCCCCCACGGTCCGCTGGACCCTCGCATGGTGAGCAGCTCGCCCCCTTCTGACAACTCCCCCCAAAATCTTAACCTAGCCATAGGGTACCTCCAGCACGAACCGTGATGCGAAATGCGCGACCTGCAACATGGGCCTTCAGGACTGCCCGGGCCACTTCGGCCACGTCCGCCTGCCGCTGCCTGTCTTCCACATCGGCTACCTCAAGTACATCCAAACGACCCTCCAGAACATCTGCAAGGACTGCGCGAGAGTCCTCCTGACCGAGCCCGAGCGGCGCCAATTCTTGAAGGAGTTGCGCCGTCCGGGAATTGATAACCTGCGGCGCGCCGCCATCCTGAAGAAGATCAACGAACAGTGCCGGAAGGTCAAGCAGTGCCCCTACTGCGGCGAGATCCAGGGTGTTATTCGGAAGCTGAGCGTCATGAAGCTCGTGCACGACAAGTACGCCGCGTACAACAAGTCGACGGCCCAGAAGAAGATCGCCCCCGAGAGCAAAGTCGAGTTTGACGCCTCGTTCGAGAATGCGAAGAAGTACACGCCAGAGCTGGAGAAGCACACAAAGAAGGCAATGGACGACCTGAACCCACTCAAGGTGCTCAACCTGTTCAAGAGGATTAGCCCGACCGACTGCGAGCTGCTCGGTCTGGACCCGACAGAGGGTCGGCCGGAGATGTTCCTCTGGCAGTACATTCCCGCGCCCCCGATCTGCATCCGTCCGTCCGTCGCCCAAGAGAACGCGAGTAATGAAGACGACATCACTAGTAAACTGTCCGAGATCATTCTCTACGCCGGTCACCTGCGAGAGTCGCTGAAGAAGGGCGTATCACTACCTGTGATCATGGAGCAGTGGGAGTTCCTGCAGCTGCAGGTGGGCATGTACGTCAACAGCGACGTGCCGGGTCTCAACCAGCCCGGCTTCGGCAAGCCCATTCGCGGCTTCTGCCAGCGCCTAAAAGGCAAGCAGGGTCGCTTCCGAGGCAATCTTTCCGGCAAGCGTGTCGACTTTTCCGGTCGTACGGTCATCTCGCCCGATCCGAACTTGAGTATCGAGCAGGTCGCGGTGCCGCAGTTGGTGGCTAAGAACTTGACGTATCCTGAAAGGGTCAACCATGCCAATATCGAGAAGCTGAGGCAGCGTGTGATCAACGGTCCTAATAATTGGCCTGGTGCCATGGGAATCATCAAAAAGGATGGCGCCAAGTTCAATCTTAAGATCGGAACCGAGGCGTTGCGCGAGCGCCATGCCAACGATCTGCAGTTTGGTGATATTGTAGAGCGTCATCTGGAAGATAACGACATCGTCCTCTTCAACCGTCAGCCCTCCCTGCACAAGCTCTCCATCATGAGCCACCTGGTCAAGGTCCGGCCCTGGAGGACATTCCGTCTCAACGAGTGCGTCTGCACACCGTACAATGCCGATTTCGACGGCGACGAAATGAACCTGCACGTCCCGCAGACCGAAGAGGCCAGGGCAGAGGCCATCAACCTGATGGGCGTCAAGCACAACCTGATCACCCCCAAGAACGGCGAGCCCATCATCGCCGCCACCCAGGATTTTATTACGGCTGCCTACCTGCTGAGCAGTAAAGACAAGTTCTTTGACCGCGAGACCTTCACGTATATCTGCACACAGATGCTGCTGGGAGAGACGCACCTGGATCTGCCGCCGCCGGCGATCATGAAGCCCCGGTGTCTTTGGACGGGCAAGCAGATTTTCAACGTGCTGATGCGTCCGAACAAGGAGTGTCCTGTGCTGGTCAACCTGGACGCAAAGAACAAGGTGTTTAGCAAGAAGAAGGATGGGCATCCGCCGGATATGGATATCGATGATGCCTTTTTGGTCGTTCGCAACTCGGAGGTCATGTGCGGGCGTATGGACAAGGCGACCGTTGGTGGTGGCAAAAAGAACTCCGTGTTCTACGTGATCCTCCGTGACTACGGGCCGGATTATGCCGCCGCAGCAATGAACCGGCTGGCCAAGCTCTGCGCCAGAATGTTGACTCTGCGCGGTTTCTCCATCGGCGTGGGCGACGTCTGGCCATCCGGTCCTCTAACAGCGCACAAAGCCAAGCTAGTTGAGGACGCCTACAAGCGCTGCGATGAGCTCATCGAGACCTACCGACAAGGCAAGCTGGAGAAGGCGCCCGGCTGCAGCATGGAAGAGACGCTGGAGAACATGATCTCCGGTATCCTCAGCCAGGTCCGTCAGCAGGCCGGTAACTACTGCGTCGACAGTCTGAGCAACAACAATGCGCCGCTCATCATGGCCAAGTCTGGCTCGAAGGGCTCCGACATCAACGTCGCGCAGATGATTGCCTGCGTCGGGCAGCAGATCATCTCGGGCAAACGTGTGCCCGATGGCTTCCAGGACCGCAGTCTGCCGCACTTCCACAAGAACGCGCGGCAGCCGCCCAGCAAGGGTTTCGTGCGGAATAGCTTCTATACGGGTCTCACGCCCAGCGAGTTCCTTTTTCACGCTATTTCCGGCAGAGAAGGTCTGGTCGATACGGCCGTCAAGACGGCCGAGACGGGGTACATGTCGCGTCGGTTGATGAAGAGCTTGGAGGATCTCTCGACGCAGTATGACGATACGGTGCGCACGTCGGAGGGGAATGTCGTGCAGTTCCAGTACGGCGCGGATCGGCTGGATCCCGTGGACATGGAGGGCGACGCGAAGCCGGTCGATTTTGCGCGCACGTGGAACCACGCGCAGAGTATCACCTGGGATAATAAGGAGCCCGGGTTGCTGCCGCGCGAGATCCAGCGGCTGTGCAAGGAAATTTTGGATGAGGAGCGCCGGAAGTATGTCAGACGGCATCTGGTCACGAATGAAGAGCTCAAGTACGATGACGAGACGATTCGTACGAGTATGGACCATGACGTGCTCATTGCTATTGATGAGCATGAGAGTGTCAGGGTGTATCTGAATACTATTGCCGACTACGTCAGGTCGCATGCTATGAAGTTGGCGAGGGCGCGGAAGTCTGTTGGGTTGGATCCGTGCATTCCGGAGGACGACGAGAAGATGAGGAAGGAGCTGGAGAAGTGGCAGCCGGCAGGGAAGGGCTTGGACAGTATGGAGGTCGACGGTCAGACTAAGAAGCCTGATTTCGTCTTCAAGGAGCTGCACCGCGACTTGGCAGAGGATACGCCCGAGAAGCGGCAGGCGCGCGCCCAAGCCCACGTCGACCGCGTCGCCAAGGTCTCGGAGCGCACGCTGCGCCAGTTCATCCAGATGTGCCTGCACAAGTACAAGAAAGCGCGCGTCGAGCCAGGTCACGCCGTTGGCGCCGTCGGCGCGCAGTCCATCGGCGAGCCCGGCACGCAGATGACCCTCAAGACCTTCCACTTCGCCGGTGTCGCCGGCATGAGCATCACCCAGGGTGTGCCGCGTATTAAGGAAATCATCAACGCATCCAAGCTCATCAGCACACCGGTCATCACCTGCAAGCTGGAGAACAAGGTCGACATCAAAGCCGCGCGCGTCGTCAAAGCTCGCATCGAAAAGACCTACATCTCCGACGTCATCTCCTACATCGACGACGAGTGGCTGCCCGACGTGGCGAAAATCGTCCTGCAAGTCGACCTGCAGGCCGTCGCCGACATGCAGTTGGGCATCACGATCAAGGACATTGCCGACGCGATCGTCAAGAACAAGAAGCTGAAACTCAAGGTCGAGCCGGACGATCTCCGCGTCGGGCACGACCGTGTCGAAGTCATCGTCCGCAACACCTGGACGGATGCCACAGCCGCGCGCAAAGCGGCCCGCCAGCGCGCCGCCGCCATCGAGAAGGGCACCGCCATGCCCCTCACCATGGACGAGTCCGTCGCCGACTTCCAGCTAAGGGTTAACTTCCTCAAGCGCATGCTCCCGCAGGTCGCGATCTCCGGCTACCCCGAGGCGAACAGAGCCATCATTCAGACCGACGACAAGACCGGAGAGCACGCGGTGCTCGTGGAAGGGTATGGCTTACGCCAGTGCATGACGACCGAGGGCGTGATCGGCACGCAGTGCGTTACCAACTCGGTCATGGAGTGCCGCGATGTTTTGGGCATCGAGGCCGCGCGCACGACGATTGCTAGTGAAATCCGCTCGGTCATGAAGGACATGAACATCGACCCGCGACACATGGAACTCTTAGCCGACGTGATGACCTATAAGGGCGAGATCCTCGGCATCACCCGCTTCGGCCTGGCCAAGATGCGCGACAGCGTGCTGCAGCTTGCGTCATTTGAGAAGACGCCCGATCACCTATTCGACGCGGCCGCGGGCATGAAGAAGGATCGGATTTTGGGCGTCAGCGAGTGCATCATTATGGGACAGAGCATGTCAATAGGGACGGGGGCCTTCCAGGTGGTGCGCAGACTGGGGATTAGGGATCATCAGCTCGCGCCAAGGGCGACAGTGTTTGAAGAGGCTTGGAAGAGGGAGGAAGGGTTGAAGAGGAAGATGAAGTTGGAGAAGAGGAGGGGGGTGACGGGGGGGCAGGAGGTTGCGGTGGGTGCGTAATGAAAAAAGGCTGGCGTTTGGGAAAAAGGGGGGAGGGTTCGATTATTTTTT